GACTCCCTTTTCATCAAGAATGTTCCATCCTTCCTTCTAAACATTATCTCATTACTGTATAAAAGCACATCACAACAGAACATATGGTTTACTTTAATTTATCACATTAAACAATAGGTTACCACAACAAACCATATCTTACCACATCTTACCATATGGTAATAAACTAAAACACAACAGGAGTTATGGTTTAATCCATTCTTTAATAACAAACCATAGCTTACCACATCATACCATATGGTATTAAACTAAAACAAAACATGACTTGTGCATTACTACATTTTCTATGATTAAACCATAGATTTATCTAATTTTACCATATCTTACCATATTTTACCATATGGTATTAAACCAAAAACAAAACTGGAATTGTGGATTACTACATTTTCTATGATTAAACATAGATTTATCTAATTTTACCATATCTTACCATATTTTACCATATTGTAACAAATTAGATGACTACAGTAAAATCATATAACAGTAGAAGTTTTAAGATGATGACTTACCTCTTGACAAATTTCTTGTTCTTGCATCTTATGTACTCCAGGATGTTGCTGAACATATCATCAGGTGTTGTTTGTGTTGGTGTTGACCATTCAACTTGTGATCTTTGTGATTGTGGAGCAACTGGATCAACAGTTGGAGTATTCAGGTCCTCCAGGTAAGCATCTATGCATTCACGCACTTCCTTGAGCTTCTCTTGGCTGTTTGTGTACAGATTTGACCATATAGCATATGACTCCGTCTGTGACTGGGTGCTTTGTGGCTGTGTTGGTGGTGGTGTTGTTCTTGCCTTCTTTTCATATACATTCAAATTCTTCACCACAATTCTTCTTTTGTGAGGCTCTCCTGGTTGATTGGTTGCCGTGGTGGTAGTCAACTTTGTTGGTGTTGTTGGTGTTTGATCTTTGAGAGGGCTGAGATCGAAGGATGGAATGTAATCTTCCCTTGTCACTTTAGGCTTCTCAGCAGCTTTGGTTGTCAATTTTGGAGTCTCTTCTCGAACAACATCATCTGACACCGTTTTCTCGCTGTCAGTTTCTGCAGTCTTTTGTGCAGCTTGGCCTGTATTCCCTTCTTCTGTTGTTCCCTTATCAACATCCATTGGATCTGCTGTTTTTGTAACTCCTTTTTCTTCTGTTTCTTTTGCAGATGTCTATTCTGGAACTGCTTTCGGGGTGTTCTCTTGTTGTGGTGTTCCCTGATTCAGATCTTCTTGAACAGCTGGTGGTTCTGTTGCAACTTTCCCCAGTGGATCTCCTTCTTGGATGCTTTCCTTATTCACAGATGCTGGAGCAGAATCATCTTGCTCCTTCGGTGTAGATGCAGCAAGATCGACTGTAGATGGTTGTGAATCATCTTCTTTCTGTGTTTGCTCCTCGTTCTCGTCTTTGTTCTTGTCTATCTTTGCCTGTTTGAATATTTGATTGATTGTTTTATCCAAACTGGCATTCATTTCTTCATCATTCTCTTCTTCATCATCTTCACATTGAGATTTTTCTCCTTCTGTGGGCTGAACATATTCATCACAGCTTTCTTTCTCAAGTTTCTCCTTGTGTCTGATCAGATTCTCAATTTGGCTGTTGTACTGGTCTTTGATTGCTTTCATCATTGCCTTCATTGATGCTTCAAGCAGTTTGATTGCATTCTCAGCCTGCATAATGGGAGTTTTGTAAGATACCATGGTGGTAATGTGTGTATGGTGTATGGTTAGTTACCATGGTGGTAATACATGGTATTGGCAATTATTATCACAATTCTCCATTTTTATAACATGAAACCATATCTTACCACATGGTAACAAAGTAAAACAGAACAAGAATTATGGTTTCCTCCATTTTAATAACATGAAACCATAGCTTACCACACCTTACCATATGGTAACGAAGTAAAACACAACAGGACTTATGTTTTCCTCCATTTTTATAACATGAAATCATAGCTTACCACACATTACCATATGGTAACAAACTAAAACACCACAGGACTTATGGTTTCCTCCATTTTTATAATATGAAACCATAGTTTACCACACCTTACCATATGGTAACCAACTAAAACACAGAAGGAATTACGGTTAGCATGTATTTGGACAACTGTAATATAGATAATTTGTACTTACTTGGTTGACTGTTCTGATATTCTTCAAATCAAAGTTCAGTGGTGATGACTGGTCTTGAGTTTTGTTTCTTTGTTTTTTCGGTGACTGATAGACTGGCTCATTCTCCTCTTCCTCATCGGTTGCATCATCAGCCTCATCATCATTAATGTTGGCAACCTTTTCGATCTCAGTCAACTCTTTTCCATTGTAGTAGCTCTTAATGTTCTCAAAGTTTGTTTCGACATTGAGATCATCATAGTAGCTTACTATTGGTGTTCGAAGCTGGGTTGAGAATGCCATTTCGTCCAGTTTGTACATGAAGCATATCTTTTTTATGCAGATAGTTGTATTAGTTTTTTCAAAGATTATCATTTATATGTAAAATATATGAGTAACAAGGTTGAAATGGCCAAGGGAATGGAGACTTACTGTAAGGAAGTGAAGATCTGCACTGACATAGAGTTTTTGTGATTTCAATCCTTCATTCATGTGTTTAAAGAAGTATTTGCACCAGTTGTAGCTGGTGAAATGTTTCAGTTCTTCGGTCTTCAAGTACTCAAGCATGTTGAGTTCAGCCATAGGTGCTGAAGTTGGACACAGCAAGCCTCCGGTGACCAGCAGAAAGAACAATTGCATCCATCTCTTACTGCTTGTGGTTGTAGGAAGATCTTTTTCTACCTGACTTAGCTTTACCCTTGGAGTTGATGTTCCATCTACTTCGAGTAGGGTTTCTACTGCATAATCTGCTGCGTCATTCCAAGAAATCATGGGAGGTACAACTTCCCTATTCCCCATCGGCAGACCATATACTCTATGAAAGTCAATTGGTGATATCTTCATGCGTGTCCCGTCAGGTAGCTTGAACGATTCTTTCATTGGATTGTGTTTGTTCATTACGAACAGAGCAAAATGATTGTTTATCTTTGTCTGCCTGATTGATATTAAGCCTGATAGGCCTAATATCTCAAGTTGCGCTTTCCGCTCATCTGTTATTGACCTTGCAATTGCAGATATTCTTGTTGGGCTGCACCTTGTGCGAAAACTTTGTCTTGGTTTTACCATAGTGTACCTGAATGTAGAAATTAGTAATAGTCTGTTAGTATGCTTTTTACCATAATATACCATATGGTACCATAATGGTTTCCTACCATACCTAATCAAATCATATATTTATCACATTTTACCATATGGTAACTACATGAAACCATGTCTTATAAGATCTTACCATATGGTAACGAAGTAAAATACAACAGGACTTATGTTTTCCTCCATTTTTACAACATGAAACCATAGCTTACCACACATTACCATATGGTAACAAACTAAAACACAGAAGGACTTATGGTTTTTTGCTATTTTACAACATGAAACCATAGCTTACCATACATTACCATATGGTAACGAACTAAAACACAGAAGGATTTATGTTTTTTTGATATTTTACAACATGAAACCATAGCTTACCACACATTACTATATGGTAACAAACTAAAACACAGAAGGACTTATGTTTTTTTGCTATTTTACAACATGAAACCATAGCTTACCACACATTACCATATGGTAACGAAGTAAAACACAGAAGGACTTATGTTTTTTTGCTATTTTACAACATGAAACCATAGCTTACCACACATTACCATATGGTAACAAACTAAAACACAGAAGGACTTATGGTTTTTTGCTATTTTACAACATGAAACCATAGCTTACCACACATTACCATATGGTAACAAACTAAAACACAGAAGAACTTATGGTTTTTTGCTATTTTACAACATGAAACCATAGCTTATAGGGGTGAACAAACACACCCGCAAACCGACCCACCCGTCCAACCCGACCCAACCCACCCGTATTTATCGCTAAAACGAAGGTTTTGGGTTGGGTGAAGGTTTTCTTTTGTACAACCCGCCTCTTTTGGGTTGGGTTTGGATTTTGGATTACACAACCCGTATAACCCGACCCAACCCGTGTTCCAACTATTAGTATGAGTTCGTATCTAAAAAATATTTATGTCGTATATAGCAATACTTATGAAAAAATTAAGATATTTCGCCATGTTTTTCTATCATGGTCTCCCTAATCTAATGCATTTTTCGACTTAAAGTTTAGACATAAATTGAGTATACTTATGATTCACGTAATCCTTTTTCTTGTGTACAATTTTAATAGAATAACATATTATGGATGCGTTTGTTTATAACCTTTTTAGCCTATTTCAACAAATATCGTGAAAAAAACTAGACATATGTTGAAGTAAATCACATTTTATTAAAATTCAAACAACAATTTTGAATTGTGATAGCTTTCACCTCGGTTTATTCGTTTGTAATTTTAATTAGTTATAAAATATTTTTATGATGTATAATAATTATATATTTTTATGTTGGGTTGGGTTTTTACTTAAAAATATCGCCAACCCGACCCAACCCAATTAGAAACAAACCGTAGGGTTTTAATTTTTTTGGGTGGGTTTGGGTTTGATAATTTCCAAACCGTAGTGCATGGATCGGGTGATTAAAATGGTTAAACCCGAACCACCCGACCCATGTACACCCCTTCGAAACTCGGTAAGGGTTTGAAACGAGAAATGCCCAGTCGCCAGCCGGTCTGACTGTACTAGATCACTGTATCAGAGGCGCTCCGGAATCAATCTAGGGTTGCCTTTCATCGTATACTCTGGCAAGCTCCTTCCTGATTCCCTTCGGTTTCCGAACTTTGCGTTTCCTTTCACTTGCAGTTTTCTCTTTCTTATGCGATCACTCTTCTGTTCGGAGATTTGATTTCCGGCGTATTCCAGCAGCTTTAAACTGTTTGTTCCCCGCGGAATTGTTGTGGAGCAGCAACCTGGTAATCGGAGGTCTGGAAGTGTGGATTCTCGGTGGGAGTTGATATGTCGCGGTTCCACGTCGGCGGCAAAGTCGTGGAAAGAGTTGATTTGTTGAGGAAGAAGCATTGGATATGGCGATTGGATGTGTGGCCGTTCACCATTCTCTATGCTCTCTGGGTCACAACTGTCGTCCCGAGTATCGACATTGGTGATGCCGGCATTGTTTTTGGCGGGCTTGTTGCTTTCCACATTCTGGTCTGGCTGTTCTCTGCGTGGTCTATTGATTTCAAGTGCTTCGTTCAGTATAGTCAGGTATATCGCTGGCTGTTATGCATATTCCTGGATAGTTCAGTGCTCTAGGCAACAAGTGCACCGTATGGTTTTTTTGTGATTAACTGTTGGTGGCTTCGTGGAGTGGGGAGGTCGTGAATTATTGATTAACCAAGCATTTTTGTGATTCACTTGCTGTGCAGGGTAACGATATTCATCAGGCAGATGCTTGTAAAATAACCCCAGCCAAGTTTTCAGGGCCCAAAGAAGTTGTGCCCCTATATATCCGTAAACAAGTAAGATTATGAACTATTGGTTTCTGATGCTTGCAATGGAAATGAGGAATTATTGCACCCATCTCTGCCTAGTTTATCTAATGTTCTTCACTTTTTAGTGGAAGTCAAGTTCCTGGTCAGAGTTTATTTCATGGACAGAGTGGCTGAATGTTATATGTTATCTTCATCCTGAACTTTCTACAAGTTAATCTGTTGAAATGTTATTTTAACTAGAAAACAGTGTCCAAACTGGTGCCCCTACGCTACAGCTTATTGAATTTGTACCATTTAGCTCTTGGACCGAAGTGTTCTTGTGGTTGTATTGCATGTCTGAAGTCATAATTATTTTACGTGCTTCCCCTAGTGATCTTACTGGCGCTCACTTGCACAGGTAAGAGAATCTTCATCTGCAGAGGACGAGGACGAGATTTTCTTTGATTTCAGAAAGCAACGCTTTATATATTCAAATGAGAAGAAGACATTTTTCAAGCTTCCATACCCAACAAAAGAAACATTTGGATACTATCTCAAATGCACTGGCTACGGGTCTGAAGCGAAAGTACTTGCTGCTAGTGAAAAATGGGGACGGAATGTGTGAGTTCCTTTCCCTACAGGACTTTTTATTGTATCTTTGTATAAATTAGTTGCTCTCTGCTTCGTTCATTTTCCAAGTTGAATATTTAATTATCATCTATCTCAGTGCAGACAGTGATCTTCCTAGTAATAAGCAAACCTATAGTAGCATGTGTCATTATTTTCTGCAGTGATGGAATAATTTGGTTACTACCTGTAATTTACGTTTTTACTAGTTGAGTTGGTCTTTCTGGTTTCTAGTCAGAATCATGTAAGGCATCATTGGAATTCTTTTTTATTCTTTTTTTGGGAGTGTTTCTGCTGCTTGACTGTTGTGGTTATATATTTCTGTAGATTTGAATATCCACAACCGACGTTCCAAAAGCTGATGAAGGAGCACTGCATGGAACCCTTTTTTGTGTTTCAGGTTTGTCATGAATCATGAAACTTAACTGGTATCTCTACTAATTTCTGTCAGTCTCAGTGATGTAATTGCTCCAAAGTATGTTAGCATTTTAAATTCAAATTTCCAGCTCAAGGGCATGTTTGGATATGACTGTCGCAACTTCTGGTGCTCGGTTTGAGAAGTTACACAACTTGGTCAACAAGAATTCCTTCTGCATACCTTTTCACTGTTTCTCTTAAAAATATTGTAGTTCCTGCTCTCATCTTGGGTTCCTTCCATTTGTAAATATTTTGCTACTACCCCCCTCTTGCTACTCACTGCATCATTAACGTTTTAACACTTACTTTGTCTCGGTCTAACTATCTGTTGTACATTATCAACCTTTGCTCTATATTTTTAGGTGTTTTGCGTGGGGCTTTGGTGCTTGGATGAGTACTGGTACTACAGCATATTCACTCTGTTTATGCTGTTTATGTTTGAATCAACAATGGCCAAAAGCAGATTGAAGACTCTTAGTGAGCTAAGACGTGTTAGAGTGGACAGTCAAACAGTAATGGTTCATCGTTGTGGAAAGTATGTCATGATTATCTCATCTGGAGATATGTATACATACGCCTATATATGTACATTCATGTCTGTAGTTCCAGGCAATCATGACGAAGAAATCATTGTTTTAGGTGGGTGAAACTTGCTGGAACTGAAATGCTGCCAGGGGATATTGTATCCATTGGTCGCTCAGTTGGCCAGAATGGCGAAGATAAGACAGTGCCTGCAGACATGCTTATATTGGCTGGGAGTGCTATTGTGAATGAAGCCATTCTCACAGGCGAGTCAACTCCCCAGTGGAAGGTGGTTCTCATTCTGTTTGTTTCTGGTTTTATAATTATTTCTTTGTGGAGTTGACATCTAGGTTACAAAAAATAAGGATCACCAGCTGGTGAGTAGAGGCTTATGCTTATCCTCTGGTTCTCTCATTCTGTGAATTAGCTTGCATATCATGTAACTTTTTGATTCAAATAAAGGTTTCTTTAGCAGGGCTATGTTATTGTTGTTATTATTATTATTATTATTATTATTATTATTGTTGTTGTTGTTGTTGTTGTTGTTGTTGTTGTTGTTATTTAGTGTTTTCTAAACCTGTTGCTATGCCTATTAACTTGGTTTTACTATTGAGTTGGCTATCCATATGTTTATATGAGCTCCCTCTTTGTGATTGGGTACTTAAGTTTTGTCAGGTAATGAAGCTATGTTTCTGTAAATTTGTTTCATTTTTATGTACTTTTGAAACAACTAGTATTTTTCAGGTTTCAACTAGTGGTAGGGGAAAGGATGAGAATCTGTCAGCAAGACGGGATAAAACCCATGTCTTGTTCGGTGGAACTAAGATATTGCAGCACACTCCAGATAAGGTTGGTTTGATAGGTGTCACCTGTAAAGTTACAGTGGTCATTACCATTATTCATCTTCTCATGATAGATGGTCCAATTTTATCGTTGGAGGTAGACATTTCCGCTGCGAACCCCTGATGGTGGCTGCCTGGCTGTTGTTCTACGAACTGGGTTTGAAACAAGTCAAGGAAAATTGATGCGGACAATTTTGTTTTCTACAGAGAGGGTAAAATTCACAACTTAATGTTACGTACCACAAAACCTTATATTGTAAATCTTTAGCCATTCCTAGCCGGGCTAACATTTGGAAATGCATTTTCTGTGTTCTCATTTTCTAATTGCCATGACCTCTGCCTCCACTGTTTTTTGTTGAAGGTAACTGCAAACAGCTGGGAAAGTGGGTTTTTCATTCTGTTCTTAGTTGTGTTTGCTGTGATTGCAGCAGGCTATGTTCTGAAAAAGGTAGGCGATATTTCACTTCAGGGTATTTTATATTTTATTGCTGTTGTCTAAACACTGCTTTTGTCACAGGGACTGGAGGATCCTACAAGGAGCAAGTACAAACTATTTCTCAGTTGTTCACTGATCATAACTTCAGTTATTCCACCGGAATTGCCAATGGAATTATCCATAGCAGTTAATACATCTCTAATTGCCTTAGCACGTCGTGGCATATTTTGCACAGAACCTTTCCGCATTCCATTTGCTGGGAAGGTAAGTTGGTTTATGTGGAGGATCCTCTTCTTCTTGCATGACTTAATCAAGTATACCTATTTCCCCTTTCAATGTTGGTGGGGTGTCATGAATGAAAAACCTTGGTTATCTTTTTTGGAGCAGTGTAATGGAGACATACTGTTTTGACATCATCTATTATAGCATAGCCCTTTTTAAGTATGCCGAGCAAAAGAAGTTTCTGCTTTCTACCTTCTTTTAACAATTAATTGTGTGACCCACATTCTTTTGTCGATGACGAGGAAGTTTTGGTATATGTGAAAAATCATATTGATTCAAGCAGCATGGGTATTGATATATTTCTTATATATGTCTTCGCAGGTTGATATTTGTTGTTTTGATAAGACTGGAACACTGACATCAGATGACATGGTATGAATATAACCTTGCTCTTAGGCTACTTAATTTTTCATAACCAGTTGATGAGTCTTTCTCATCTTTCTGCCTTCCAGGAGTTTCGTGGGGTAGTTGGGTTGGATGATGATACTGATCTCAAATCCGACATGACTAAAGTGCCTGTTCGTACTGTTGAAATTTTGGCGGCTTGTCATGCGTTGGTTTTTGTCGACAATAAGCTGGTACGTGGATATCACCTTTTCAGTTTGGTGCCTAAATACTAATATGCAGGCTAGAGTCTTTGAACCTTTCTATAGAGATGATTTGCCAATGAGATATTGTCAATTGGATGGGAACTGTATGTATCTCTGTTGCTTGAGCATTCCTTAACTGCTTATAGGTTGGAGATCCTCTTGAGAAGGCTGCACTGAAGGGAATAGACTGGAGCTATAAGTCAGATGAGAAGGCTGTACCCAAAAGGTGGGTGATGAGATAAAGTATATGTATAAATGTTTGTCAGTAGGTCTTCTTTTAGAATCTTATCATTCTGCTTAGTTAATGAAAACTATTTGTTTCCATTACATTTGAGGTTCCATTGTTTTTCTTTCTGAAACCCCCCATTCTACCAATTGTATCAAATACCAATGATTGACATCTTCGTTGAAGTTCATGACCTGTCCCTACTATTATTCTTAAGCTCTCTTCATGAACTCGCATTTTCATTTATTTCTGTTTCCTGCATTTTCTTGATTTTATTTTTCCCCCTATTAACCGAAGTTCAATGTTTCCTTGATGAAACACGCACTGTCATTTTTTTTTATCTCTTGCATTTTCTGGAATACCTCTGTTTTCCCCTATTGATTGAAGTTTTTATCCTCATTGATGACAGGGGGAGTGGGAATGCTGTTCAGATTGTTCAGCGACACCACTTTGCTTCCTATCTAAAGAGAATGTCAGTAGTTGTTCGTGTAGAGGAGGCATTTTTGGCTTTTGTGAAGGTCGGTTTCTTTTTTCTATTTTGGGTTTGGCTGCATCTTGATGAAAGTAACTTGTAGAAGTTCCTCTCTTGGCATTTTGCTAAAATCGAGTTGATTCTTGGAAGTAAGGAAGCAAGAGGGCTCTTATTTTGTAGAAGCTAAATCCAAATTATTCCTATCTGCATAATGCTGCTCTCAATATGCCACCACGTAGATACTTACAAGAAATACACTTCCCATCCTTCTATCTTAGGGTGCACCAGAGACTATTCAAGATAGGCTGACTAATTTGCCAGCATCCTATGTGGATACCTACAAGAAATACACTCGCCAGGGATCTCGTGTTCTGGCCCTTGCTTTCAAGTCCCTTCCAGACATGACAGTGAGTTTCTCACCCATACACACAACTGAAGTATATATATCATGCGAATCACTAGGACCACAATTCTAGTAATGTTGTTTATTTGTATTATCTTTAACTTATAATGACATCTTAAGCTAAATTCTGTTTCAACTGCCAAGTAAATATCATTATCTTGTTTGCTGTTTGCAAAATGCTATTCTCTTGTTATTCTCACTGCTCCAGTTTTCAATTTTTTTCTTACGAGGGACTTGATTTTTCAAATTGCATGTAAGATTCACTCTGTTGTTTTCCTCATAGGCTTTGAGTGATCCTTACAAGTGCTGGGCTCTTATGTAATACATGCTTCAAGGATCACCATGAACATTAGTTATTTTGGCATCTATGCCTATTTGGTGAAATCCTTCAATTTAAACTGAAGATAGCGACATAATGTGGAACGGAATAAACACTTTGCAATATCAGTTCAATCATAAGTCGGGCATTCGATGTTTTTTTAGTCTGTTACACTTGCCTTCCTTTGTGAAAGATATTGTGCTGCATTTTTCTCTTTCAACCGAGTAGATTTTATTTGAGTTGATGTAATTTCTCTTTGTTTCGTATGAAGGTCAGCGAAGCAAGGAACTTGGAGAGGGATGAAGTGGAGAATAGTCTCACTTTTGCTGGTTTTGCTGTAAGCACACAAAACTCGTGTTTATTTGGTTTCTTTTGCAATATTTTCCTGGTAGTTGGTGACTTGGGCGTGTATATTGATGTTTATATATATCTATTGTCGCCTTGCTAATTAACTGAATATCAGGTGTTTAATTGCCCAATAAGAGCAGATTCAGCTACTGTATTGTTGGAGTTAAAGAATGCATCGCATGACTTGGTAAGTTCCAAATTCTGTTTCAATTTGTCATCTAGCTGGCATCTTGTGTATTGGCATAGACTGAGAAGCTGTTTTGGAAGTTACTGAATTAGTATCTTTTTTTTATTGTAAAATAAGTAACTACGCTTAGGCTGAATCATCTGCACTGAGGGATACTGTTGTGGGTGAGATACCTAGTGTTGTGGGTAATATGACTTCATGAAGATAGATGATGGCCTTGCCAATCCCAGTGTGGAGGTTACCCGAGTCATTGGGCTCCTTCTTGATGAACTTTATTGATATGCTGAATAGTTATGAAAATTGCAAATCAGTTGGTGTATGCTGACTCAATGATTGGACTTCAGTTGTTCATGTAACTTGATATGTTCTTATGTATAGGCTATTGGCAATCTTCAGTTCTTGAATGCTTTTAGTAAAAAGGTCCCTCTGATTTTAGGCAATGATCACTGGGGACCAAGCTTTAACAGCTTGCCATGTTGCCAGCCTAGTGCATATCATCTCAAAACCAACATTAATTCTCGTCAAAACAAGGAGTGAAGGATATGAGTGGATCTCACCAGATGAAACAGAGGTTATACCGTACAGGTAATGTTTTATTCTATTTATTGTTGGATATGATGTAATATTTCATGTTTCAGGGTCTTGAATCATGTAATAATTATATAGGCCTTCCATTAGCTCGAGTCTATCCATCTGTTCTTTCTGACAAAGTCTTTCATATTGTAGTAAGCGTTGGGCTGCTTGCAGTAATAGTTCCCCGCTTTTATGTTTCTCAGATTTTAACCACAAGTGAATTAGAAAATGGTTGTGTTTCAAGGCTTTATTCTCTCTTAGTCGTGTTCTCCTAGTGGTTTCTTTTATTTTGCTCTTTGAGAGTATGTGAGACTCTATGCTGAAAATCTCAGCTTCTGAATTGTCAGTGACAAAGAGGTTGAAGCTTTATCAGAGACCCATGATCTGTGCATTGGAGGTGACTGTATTGATATGCTGCAACAGAGTTCAGCTGTTCTTCGAGTCATTCCTTATGTCAAGGTTATAATCTGTTGCATTTAATCTTAAAAATTCATGGTTTGTTTCATTCTCATCTTAATCAGAAGTTTAAACTGCTGTTCAGGTCTTTGCAAGGGTTGCCCCTGAGCAAAAAGAACTGATCATGACTACATTCAAGACCGTGGGGAGGATTACATTGATGTGTGGGGATGGAACAAATGATGTTGGAGCTTTGAAGCAGGTAAAATTTTCATATTAGTTATCACTTACGAGGGCATAAATCTCTTTTCAACCTCCTGGTTTGGATTCATATAATCATATCACAAGTTAGGTTCAGATTTTGCTTTCAATCATGCACTCGGCATGCATTCATATAATCACTTGTCAGGTGCGACATGCCTTTGTCCGAGGGAGAAATTTGATTATCCTAGAGAAAAGCATTAACCTTGCTGTAACATTTTATATCCAGGCCCATGTAGGTGTAGCCCTATTGAATGCAGTGCCTCCATCGTCGGAATCATCTAAAAAGGTTAAAGACGAAGGAAAAGATGGAAATGAGAAGCCTGTTGTCAAGCCTTCCAAAAAAGCAAATACAATGACTGAAATGGGGTCTTCTTCAAGGGGGAGAGCCGGAACTAAGTCAGATCCCATCAGTAGGTCTGTTGGTAACCGTCATCTAACGTCTGTAGAAATGCAGCAGCAGAAACTGAAGAAGCTGATGGACGAGATGAATGAAGAGGGTGACGGTCGATCGGCTCCAGTTGTCAAACTTGGAGACGCTTCGATGGCATCCCCTTTCACCGCAAAGCACGCGTCTGTTGCCCCGACGACAGACATCATACGCCAAGGTCGAAGCACTCTGGTGACCACCCTTCAGATGTTTAAGATCCTTGGTCTCAACTGCCTTGCCACAGCATATGTGTTGAGCGTCATGTACTTGGATGGTGTGAAGCTTGGCGACGTCCAGGCTACAATCAGTGGCATCTTTACTGCCTCATTCTTCCTCTTTATCTCGCATGCACGTCCTCTCCCCACACTTTCCGCTGAGAGGCCCCACCCAAACATTTTTTGCTTCTATGTCTTTCTGTCACTAATGGGGCAGTTTGCGATGCACTTGTTCTTCCTCATTTCTTCAGTGAAAGAAGCCGAGAAGCATATGCCGGAGGAGTGCATCGAACCGGATTCTGATTTCCATCCAAATTTGGTAAACACAGTTTCATACATGGTGAGCATGATGATTCAGCTAGCAACCTTTGCCGTGAACTACATGGGCCATCCTTTCAACCAGAGCATCTCCGAGAACAAGCCTTTCATGTATGCTCTGTTGGGTGCCGCTGGCTTCTTCACCGTCATAACCTCAGATCTTTTCAGGGATCTGAATGACTGGTTGAAGTTGGTGCCTTTGCCGCCAGGGTTGAGGAATAAGCTTCTGCTTTGGGCGTTTCTTATGTACTTGAGCTGCTACGCTTGGGAGAGATTGTTGAGGTGGGCGTTCCCTGGTAGGATTCCGGCATGGAAGAAGCGTCAACGTGTTGCTACTGCAAATTTGGAGAAGCAAAAACGCATGTGAAGATCTGCTGGGTAGCGGATAGGCAACCATTGGTTGGCATTTTGCTGCAGATTAGCTTTGGTAATGTACCATTTTTTTGCTTTTCGTCCACCCCCGTTGAATATTGGCTGCTATATATGGTTGGAGTTTGTCTGCTGTCGATACAAACATCATGTGAAGCTGGATTTGCCTTTTGAACACTTAGATGTCTGAAGTGCTTGCTACCTCATGACAAGAAATAATTTAATTGGACTGCTGCCAGTGATGGTTGGACTGTTAATTACCTGTATTAGACTTGCATTGCATGTGTGTCAGTTCAGTGACTGCGTTCGGACAATTTCATTCAGCAGTACATAGTTATTGGATATGGAAGGCAATTACAACCCGTCAATGAGGCAAGGACACAGGACCAAGTGCATAACTAGAATAGATCTTTTGATTCGGAGTGTTGTCAGCAGGGCTGCAAATAGGGATGGCAATGCCCCGTTTATAGATATCCAAACCCGTACCCGTTCCATATCCATGTAGGAGAATGTTCTGCGAACTCATTCCCGTATTCATGGGTTTTGGATACCCATGGGGTGATACCCGTCCTGTACATTCAACATTATACCCAAGACTTTTAGAAAAGAGAGAAAAGGGAGATTCTAGCGAGAGAAGGTTGAAGGAAAGTCAAAAAGCCAAGGAAACTTTGGGAGCTCAAAATCCATCCAAAGTTCAGATTCAATTGAGGTTGATCCTGGTGTTTGGTACCAACATCATATAAAGGTAGATTATTATGTGGAGTTTCCTAATACATTGAAGATTAGTAATTTCCAAGACCATTCCATTAGGTCGAAAGTTGGATGCCCTGAAATTTTATTGAGAAATATGGATCAAAGTAAATATCTTTGCAATGACACAATGATTATTATCAAGAGACTATATATACACATGGTTTATTAAAGTGGAGATTCTATTAGGTACTCATATTGATGAAAAAGGTCTTCCTACCTCAAATTAAATTATCTTCTTATCACGAAAGTTTGGATTTCACATTCGTTAGGGGGGAACAATTTCCTATCGCAGTTTGCTTTGCTATGATGTTCATGATTCATTTACTTTCCGAAAAATTGAAATTTATTTTTTATCATAAATTGAAATTTGTTTTGATTGTGGTACTCTCTATTGGATTTAGAGTATATTTGGAACATGCATCTTCTTATTATTATTTAATTAACATGCATACCATGTCAAACTTCACATATATTGATTTTGTTATGCAATTGATTTTTTCTATTATAATTAAACAGCTATCAAGGGTAAATTATAAGTAATATTTTCAAGTGTACTGTGTATACTTATTCTACCAAACAATTTAAATGTTTCGACGTACTCGAATAAGTTATAATTTCTCATACAACCAAAGAAACACATATCTCGCATACAAGTTGTTACAATTGTTTACGTGATTGGCAAATCCGGCCAACTGGCCGGTCCCGTGACTAGTCTCCATCACACATTTTCCTTTATAATCTTTTCCTTTTTGATGATGACCAACCTCCATTCACTCATTTATTAGCCACATCCACAGCCAAAAGAGGACAAACAAAAGCGGGCACAACACAAATGTGCAGATTGCAGACAGAGTGCAGACTGAAGATTGAAAATTTTGGAATATAAAAGAAAACAACAAACAGAGAAAAGAGTCAAAGAGAGGAGAAGAGAAGAGGAAAATTTCCCTCACAAACTTTTCTCAAAGGTGTACTTTCCAGTTTCCAGTTTCCACTTTCCACTTTCCACTCACTTTCTTTCTCTTCTCGCACTGTTCACCATCTTTCTCCCCAACCACACAAAACAAGCTCCAAACTCGCCGGGCGATTAGGATTCATCAAAAAAGACCACATTCGCTTTCTTCCTTTCTTCGAGATGGCGGCCGGCGTTCTGCTTTGGGTTGTTTTTCCGAAAGAGAATGCCGTCAGTTCCTCCGCTCTACTCGGTCTCATACCCAGAACCGGGGCTGGCGGCGGCGTCGCTTCGCAGTTGGTAACTAGGCCCAGAGGCGCCGGCGCAGGCGCTAGAAGGCAGAGGCCGAGAATTGCGTCGTCGATGAATTCGAATAGCGGGGTGTCTGCTGTGTACTCGAGCACCGCCGCCGTTGCTGCGAGCCCGGCAAGATCTTCGGAAGAGAAGGTCTACGAGGTGGTGCTAAAGCAGGCGGCGCTGGTGAAGGAGCTGCAGAGACGGTCGGCGGAGGAAGAGGCAGTAGTAGCGGGAACGCTATCGAATTGGGATTTTCTGAACCACGCTTACGATAGGTGCGGCGAGGTCTGCGCCGAGTACGCCAAAACGTTTTACTTGGGTAATTTCCCCCCTTCCTTTCTCCGCTCTTCCCTTCCTCCTCTGTTGTTGTGGTTTTCATTTTTACTTTCTGTAACTTGACTAGGGAATGGAGCCTACGAGGTATGATGATTTGTTTATTGTTGTAATTAGCTATTTGAAACTGTGGTGATTAGTTTATATTTCTCCCGGTTTTCAGTTCAGTTTATGAAGGGGATTAAGATGATGGTTGAACCTTGCAAACAGTTTTTTACTTTTCCTTTTCTTTCTTCTGTTAGAATGGGTCAAAACATTTTTTTGTGCTAAGTTAAAAAAAAAAAAAATTGTGACAACCCATTTGGTCGTTTGCATAACAACCATAGTCTTCCTTCAGAGATTCCCTTTGTTTGCTAGAGAGAACCAATCTGCTTGGGATTAGGGAAGAAGAACCACCATTAAGGGTTCTGGTCAGCTCCATTTCCATTTATGAATCGAGTTATTGAAGTCAAGTGATTAGTTCGCTAACATGGTATCAGAGCCTAGAACCGAAAGGTCATGGTTTCGAATCCTCATGACGATCCCCATTTTCAGCCATTTGTTTAGCACAAGGGATGGTATGTCCAACCTGTGCAAACTAAAGCCTCGTGGTTTGGCAGCACAAGGTTTCAACCTGTGAAAACCGTAAAAATCCACAATTCGGCATCGGCTTTCGTTTGAGGGGGCGTATAAGAGGTTAAAAAGGCTTAACTATCCCTTTCCCAACAACTCGAGTTATTGCGGCCAAGTATATTTACTATTTGTCGCCCGTAATTTTATGAAAAATATCCATTTTGCCCTTCACATTTTGAAAACTTAACTATGTCCATCCCGCCGCCGAACCTGCTAGCCGGGCTTTGCTGCCGCTGTGGAGAACCAAATTTGCGGACGTCACCTTCCTCTTTTTTTTTACCGCAATTCCCAGCGACGATTAGCCTTTCTTATTCCATAACCCACGTCTAGTTTCAATTCCCTAATTAACAATAGGAAAACTTCCTTAATTAACACAATTAAGCCCATAAAATAAATGGTGGAATGTAAAGAGTTAATAAAATAAAAAAGACTAATAATTAGGCAAATTAAACGGGATCGCTGGCGGATCTAACTTTAACCCCCTAATGATAGGAAATGTTTGTTAAATTGATTATACAATAAGATTTATGCCTAGTTTTTTTTTTACGTTAATCTTGCTATTTGTAGTTAGTAGTTTCTATTGAATTGCGTGGCTATTTATTTGTGGTAATTACTCAAAATCAAATATTTCATAAATGTAAACTTATAAATTTTACCATTTTTAAAACTCCTCTATTTAATATTCTACCGAAAATAATCAAATATATCAACAGAAAAATCAAACTTACCTTGATAAACAGCGCCGAGGCACCGCGACGGTGAGGAAAGGTCGACGGCGACGTTCGGACGGGGTCCGACGGAGACTTTCGGACGGGTCCGACAGCGACGTTCGGACGGGGTCCGGCTGAGACTTTCGTACGGGTCCGACGGCGACTTTCGGGGTCCGGCTGAGACTTTCGTACGGGTCCGACGGCGACTTTCGGGGTCCGACAACCACGTTCGGACGGGTTTCGACGTCGACGTTCGAACGTTTGCCGCCGCCGACCTTTTTATTCATAAAAATCAATTATGATTTGTGATTAACGGATTACCAAATGGAGTAAGCATGTGATTCTTTCCCCATTACCGGCGGCGGTCAAACGGCGGCGGCGGCGGTGGTCTGGCGGCGACGATGGTCTGTCACCAACGACGATGATGGTCTGCGTTGTGGAATTAGGTTTGATATTATAATGGATGAAGGATAGAATTGACATTTCACTAAAATTATGGGCGGCAAATAGTAAATGTTGCAAATAGCAACCCTCTTTCCATTTTCCATTCAAGGCCCACTGACATACTAATTATGAAGTTTCAACTTCAAACCAGCTCTTCTTCAAGTTCCAGCCTCCTTTGCCTTTAGTTGAAAGTTCTGCAACCGGAAACTATATGTTCTAACTTCTAACCATCAAAGTTTGTTCTCAACTTTAATTTATCATTGCAGGAACCTTGTTGATGACACCGGAACGGCGAAGAGCTGTGTGGGCAATTTATGGTATGTGAGCTCTGTCTCCCCTCCTTGTTGTCAACATCAGCTGGGAGCTCAATACTCATCTCCATATGTCATTCTCAGTCCTCGCTGTTATTGTTTGTCCTTGTCCATTTCAACTGTTGCATTGAAACCCAATTTATTTCCCGCTTCTACTTGTCTCAATCTGCCAACCGTGTCCGAGCCTTACTTGGACTGGTTATGGCGGCCGAATGCTGGATTATTCTACGGTTTCCAGTACAAACAATTGAACGTGCTGTTTTTTTGTTGGATTTCTTTGGTAAGTTTGGTGCAGAAGGATTGATGAGCTGGTGGATGGGCCAGTTGCAACTCACATCACACCGAAAGCTCTTGATGGATGGGAGAGAAGACTGAACAATCTCTTTGAAGGCCGCCCATATGACATGTTTGATGCTGCTCTATCCGATACGGTCACTAAATACCCTGTTGATATCCAGGTATATAGATTAATATTTACTGGATCATGCAATCCTTTGCTTTTGTTGGCTTAGGATTTTTCATCTTATGGAACTGAATGATCCTTGCCCTCTTTTCCTGGTGCAGCCCTTCAAGGACATGATTGAAGGAATGCGGATGGACTTGAAGAAGTCACGATACCCGAATTTCGATGAGCTCTACCTCTACTGCTACTATGTTGCGGGGACAGTCAGCCTGATGAGTGTTCCGGTAATGGGGATCTCCACGGAATCAAAGGCTTCCACCGAGAGCGTTTACAATGCTGCATTGGCCTTGGGGATTGCCAACCAACTAACTAACATACTAAGAGATGTTGGAGAAGAGTATGCTCTCCTTTGTTTTCATTAACCATCCAACGCTTCCTGAAGCTGATCGCTATCTGTTTGCTCTAATATTCCTTCGATATTGTTTGGCAGTGCGAGGAGAGGAAGGATTTATCTGCCACAGGACGAGCTGAGGCAAGCTGGGCTCTCCGACGAAGATATATTCAAGGGGAAGGTGACGGAGAAATGGAGGAGTTTCATGAAATGGCAGATCAAGCGGGCAAGGATGTTCTTCGATCAGGCAGAGAAAGGTGTTGGGGAGCTAAACGGGGAGAGCAGATGGCCGGTGTGGGCATCTCTAATTCTGTATAAGCAGATATTAGACGCCATTGAAGCGAATGATTATGACAACTTCACGAAGCGCGCTTATGTAGGGAAAGCAAAAAAGTTTGCGTCATTGCCTTTAGCTTATGGACGAGCACTTATGGGTCCACTTTCTAAACGAGCAGCTGGCTCGGCTAGGACTTGCTGACTTGTTGGAGTGAAGCGGCCAATCATTAATATGACTGAATATAAGGTTGTTTGTTGGGTAAATTGTAAGGTTGGTCACTGAGAATATTAAAAATGTTCATGTTTGGTCATTCGAAATATTTAATTCCATTAATGGTCACTTAAATTAGTAAAATCGTCCAAGTTTGGTCACTCTCCGTTAATGCCATCAGTTATTTGCTGATGTGGCAAACAAAAATGTTGATTCACCCCATTCTAACCCACCACGTCATAAAATCCGACCCGCCATGTCATTAAACCCTCCATGTCAAATTATTGTTAATCATTTAAAATAAAAATAAAAAAACAAAATGAATTTCCATCTCTCAGTCTTCTTCTCTCAACCCCTCTTGGATGGAGCAAAAAAAATCCCCTCTTTGGTCCAGAGCTTCTTCTGGATCTTCTCCTCTTTCTTCCCCATCTCTCCATAATTCCATTCCCTAACCACAGCTGTCTAACTCATCGCTTTCATTCTCCTTAGAAACCGAAACAGAAAGAAAAATCAAAACCTTCCAAGCTTCCCCTTCCTTCATCTCTCGACTCCCTGCTAAAGATTCCTCTTCCTGGCTTCCTTCATCCAACTCCAGTCAATCTATTATATGAGTTGTTTCATAAATGATTCGCCAACACCAATCTATAACGATTGACTATTAACCATGAACTATTTACTTCTTCAGTTTCCGGTTGGAGTTGGTTAATAAAGTAGAGAGGAATTAATTTTTTGGGGTGGAGAAGTCAAGGGAAGGATGCTGAGTAAATACTAGGGAGGGGAGGGAAACCCTCCTTTAGTTGACCAAACCAAAGATATAGTTATCGACCCCTACTAAAGCTTCCCCTTCCTTCATCTCTCGACCCCCTGCTACTCGATCTGCTTCCCCATCTCTCCATCTAATCCTCTTTCTTCCCCACCCATCTGTGGTACATGTGTTGGACTCCCCTTTACTAGCTTAGCGTACATCAAAATTGTTGTCGTCGCCACCACGCACGACCAAAGCTTGGTACTTTGCTCCTTTTTCTTGAATCCGTATCCACAATCTCACTCCCTCCTCCGTCATTCAGGGATTCATTCACGGCGGCAGAAGTCTAGACGAAGAACTCCAACGCGGAGCCAGATCGTGGGCCGCCTCTCACCTGCCTCTTTTTCTCCTCTTTGTTGGATGGGATCTCCTTAATCCCTCTGCCTCCTCATGGGATTGGATTATCGAAAATCTGGTACTGGTGGGCATCAGGGGATTCGCTAGATCTAGACATGGTTAGGTAGGTCGGTTTGATTCAAGGGTTGGTCGGGTTGGGTTATACAAGATGACATGGCGGGTTATAGTGACATGGATGGTCGGATTTCACTATTTTTGGGTTAAATTAGACTGACTAAGCGATTCCGTTAGCTATGTCAACACATAACGGTCTTGGTTAACGGAGATGGATGGAGACTAACGGAGAGTGACCAAACTTGGACGGTTTTACTAATTTTAGTGACCACGAATGGATTTAAATATTTTGAGTGACCAAACATGAACGTTTTTTGTAATCTCAGTGACCAACTATGCAATTGACCCGTTGTTTGTTTTCTCTCTTTAAATTTTTGGGAATTTTGCTACGATTATGACTAGAATAGATCTGTAAATTCTCCCTCCTGCTTAATTTTTGTAACGAAAATGATGATATTTGTATTCGGTGCACTCACTCATTCAATTCAATACGCATATTGGAGCATCCATGTCGATTGCAAAAGTAATTGTATTCGTCCTTTTTATTACCACCTTTAAATTTTTTTCAATCTAACTCATTACTTTCATTAACCTTTTCCATGGTCCAACCTTGTTGTGTCGCCAGGTTTATTGACCCCAAGGTTGTCAACCCGCGGGTTTACCCGGACTCGGTCGAGCTAGTGGGTCAAGGGTTAACCGGTCACCTGTTTTAGCCTGTTTTAGCGTGGAAATATGGAAAGAGTCATTATATGGTACTTATCCTGATAAATTATATCAAATCTCATCTAACATATGAGTAATAACATATAACATTACACCAAAGTAACATGTCATACTTAGATCCAACATATAGTGAAAATTCAAACACACTTATATAACATCAATATTCAAATGTTCAACTAAAGATTCCAAAGATTGAGTTAGGCGAAAAGAAAAATTGGTAAATAGGCGCATTTCGCAAACCAAAGGAAAAAATGACACAATTTGACCTTCAACCCGATACCTTGTAGCGATCGACCCAACAGGTGTGTGCAACCCATTTTTCTCAATGGGTCAGAGTCAAAGTGGGTCAACCCGCGGGTTGACAACCTTGATTGACCCACAAGGTTCGGATAATGGTAGGACTCATAAGTACATCGTCGTAGCTAGGTTCCTCTTCATCAAATCCTGGTCGACATGACTTGCTCTTTCCGAGCTCAGAAATGACATTATGACATAATATCTTTATAGTCATTCCTTGGTGTAATCGTTATTTCGCCTCATGCCTGTTCTTCCTTATTACACTTGTTAACACCACTTTAAAGTATGATCAATCCCAACTACATCTCCGCATTTCTTATCTTGATGTTGGTCTTGTCCCTTTTCAAGGTTTGCCCTTAGCTAACCAGTTCGTGGAGTGGGAACGAGAGTATGAGAGTGCCTATATTATAAGAATTTGATATTAAAAAGCGTGAAGAGAGCATCATTATTATATTATTTTTATATTTACAATATAAATAATAAAAAATAGTACATGACAACCCATGGTGGAGGATATAGGAGTTTTAGAAAGAGTAACTTGTATTATTATGAAACCACAAAGGAGTTTATATAGATTACAAGACTTGGACAATAAGTAAGAGAACCACAATACTAGAAGGACAAAGAAATATAAGATTATTCCTAATCTATCTCTAACACGCCGCCGTTATAGGAGTTTTAGGAGGAGTAACTTGTATTATTACACTACAAGAAAATCCACATATAGCGACTAAGGAAATTTGCCGCTATATATATGTTATTTGCCTCTGTATATATTTAGAAACAAATAAAACATTTGCCTCAAATACTCCAGTGGCTATAGCCCTGCAGAGGCAAATATAGCGACATATATTATCTGCTGCTGATTAGATATTTTGCGGCTGATACTTTAGCTGCTAATGTCACTTTTATTTTGCCTTTGTATTCCATATTAGAGGCATAAATATTTGCCTCTAATATTATCTTTAGAGACAGGTTCAATTGCTTGTAAAATTAACCTATTGAGGCTAATACATGTGCCTTTAACTAATTTAGTTGAGGCCTAAGTTTGTGCCTGTAAAATTGTTTTTAGATTCAAGGTATTGGATGCCCTTTTAGATGTAAAACAAAATGTGATAATTTATATGTTAATCATAATTTTAATAATAAAGCAAACAACTCATTACACACATTACTTTCTAGGCTAACATACAAACGGCAACTTGACATGTGATAATCGAAGACACAACAACAATATTGAGGCTAATACATGTGTTGTCAATATTCTTGTCCTCTCTAGTATGACGTTTCTCAAACTTGGAAAACACCACAACACTATAGGCAAGTCTCGACCGAAATGAATCTTCATGGATCTAGGTTTTTCCTTGTTCGTCGTCGGTTCGAAGCTCGCCCTCACAAATCTTAGCGGCTTCTCTCTAGATCTGGGCAGCAGGGGTCCTGACTAGCAAGCCTCTACTCTGCTTTCTCTGGTTTGCTTTGGAGACCTCTCTATTGCGAGCCTTTCTTCTCCCCTACCACCGTTCTCTCCTACTACTCGCGTCATATGTCGTTGTCGCTGCCGCCCCCAGGTAGTCTCCCGTCCCATCTCGATTTCTCTTCACCACCGTCTCAGAGAGACGTGCCAGGCCGGCCTATTGCAGATCTTGCACCATCTCGGACTGTCGGCGCCCCAACAAATCAAACTGAGAGAAGATAGAACAAAAACATAAAAGTCCACGAAGAGAGAGAATAAACTGCAAATGTGGACCTTGAGGGCATTGATTCAAACCTGATAAGATCGGAGAGTCCCATCTAGTGAAATATGGGCAGGAAGGGGGTCTCTGCTTCTCTTTGCTCCGACGCCGGCTTCTCTGGTCGTCGCTTCTCTCTGTTCCGACAGAAAAGGTTGATGGAGATGCAGGGGTGTGCGAGGCCGGAGGTGGGTGTAGCGGGGAGGCTTTCAATTTGGGACTGGAGGTCTGGCTGAAGAAGAAGAAGAGATCCGGATTTCTTGTTGGGAGGCGCTCTGTTTTAGAGTGAGTGGGTAAGGGGGATATGAAGAGGCATTATTGACGTTTGCAAGCCATGTAATATTTTGGAGAGGCATTTGTTTATATAAAAAATACTTTGGAGAGGCATATATTGATATAAATGAACCTAACTCAAGTAATTTTTTATATTTTAAACTAAATATGGATATTTTAAAGCTAAATAATTATAGCGACAAATATTAAACATCTATTGCGGCAAAAGAATTATTAGTCGTTATAAAACTTTTGGAGTTGCAAAGCTTATGTGCTATAGAGGCAAATTATGTATGAGTAGTATGTCTAATATTTTTAGAGGCACATAATTATGCATATTGAGGCAAATTATGTATGTGTAGTATATCTAATACTTTTGGAGGCACATAACTGTGTCTATTGAGGCAAATTATATATGTGTTGCATATCTAATATTTTTAGAAGCATATAATGATGCCTATTGAGGCCAATTATATATGTGTTGCTTATAATATCCTTTTAGCGGCAAATACAATATTTGCCTCAACAAATAGCCGCTATATGTGGGTTTTCTTCTAGTGTTATGAAACCACAAAGGGGTTTGTATAGATTACAAAACTTGGATAATAAGTAAGAGAACCACAATACTAGAAGGACACGGAAATACTAATAACTATACTAGAAGGACAATAAAATATAAGATTATTCCTAATTTATCTCTAAGACGCCCCTGCAAGATGATGGTTTGAAGAACAACATCAATCTTTACCAAAATACGTCAAACTTGAAGAACACGCCCCCACAACGTGAACCCACAGGTCCCTGAATTGTAACCAGGCTCTAATACCATATAGGAGTTTTAGGAAGAGTAACTTGTATTATTATGAAACCACAAAGGGGTTTATATAGATTACAAGACTTGGACAATAAGTAAGAGAACCACAATATTAGAAGGACAAGAAAATACTAAGAACTATACTAGAAGGACAAGGAAATAAGATTATTCATAATCTATATCTAACAAAGGGAGCGAGGATGTCGTCGACTATGCCGGGGTAAGGTAGCTCTGGGAATTAGTTGGTAAAACTCAGAGGTGGGGACGGCGGAGCTCTAGGAACAGTTGACGGAGGCCGAGAACGTCGATTGTGAGTTCTATGTGGTTGTCGATGCCGTCCAGGATCTTCCATGGGAAGACCGCGCTCCAAAAAATATAATTCGCGCTCCAAAATATTTTAGTTCGCGAATTATTGCCGAATTACTGAAAATTCGTGTTTACACGAGCTAGAGCGGGAGCGGCAGCCCTTGTGCCGCGAATTAGTTGTCCTAAGTTTGCCCTCGACCTTTTTCGTTAATTTTTTGGAAAAATTCATCTATACTTTTCCTCGGCCGAGTGCACAGCCGAGGTGCACACCTGGCCGAGAAGTCTCAGCCATGTGTGCACCTCTGCTGTGCACTTGGCCGAGGGAATGTGCACTCGGCTGAGAAGTCTCGGCCAATCATGCACCTGGGCTGTGCACTTGGCCGAGGAAAAGTGCACTCGGACGGGACGGGCAAGGCATTTGGCCTAGGCATCCGATCAATTTTTCACACATTTTTAGCCAAAACTTTCATGTTTGTGACAATAATAGCCACTTTTAGCGAAATAGAGCCAGAATTTTGAAAGTTTGATGACAAATATAGTCATTTCCGTTACAAACTTAAACGGTGTTAGAAACTCCGTCAAATAGACTAACGTTAGGCTGACTAGGATGTCAAATCATCGCACACATCAGCGACAACTTAGCTATTGGTGACACGTAGATGCGACGTGTTATTTAATATAAAATTAAAGAAATAAAAAAAATTAAAAGATTAAAAAATTAATTTTTATTTTTCTGGCTTGATTCTATGTCTCGTCCCTCTTAATCTCCTCTCTCATCATAAAGAAATAAAATAATTAAAGTATCCCGTCTCTTCCTCATCTTCTTCGATCCAATCTTCTCCGTTGCCCTGGCATGGCCCTCTCCACTCACATCTTCCTCATCCTCATCACTAGATCCAGGTACGACGGCTACAGACAGCAACGAAAGAGATCGACAAGATCCCTAACAAGGAGTGTCGTCCTGGATCTCTCCTCTTCGACTCTCTCTCACCGTCATACCCGGCGGTGCCGCATCCGTCGAGCTCTGTGGTGTCAATTAAACGCATTTGAGCCGAGATCCAGACCACCGCAAGAGAAAATCAGTGATTATCGGATTCTCCATCGCGGTATTCACGCTTATCGCGTTGTCGCTGCTGCTACTCTGTTTCGCGGTGGCGATTAAGAAGAGGCGGAGGAGCGGGGACAAGCTGTCGTCCCTGGAGAAGTCAGTCGTTCTGCTCGACGATGCCGTGTTGCAGATAGACCAGCTGGAGAGCGATCTGGGAAAGAGAGTGAGGAGGGCGCAAGGGATCCAGGAAGACGAAGAGCGGGCGTTTGATGTTCTGTTGCGGGGAGGAGGGCTCAATCAATTTCCAGATCCCTAATCTCGAACTTTTGAGACCATTGCCTCAGCTCCGCCTCAAATCCAATTTCTAGAATTTTTGGATCTAGATTTGGGGGGGGGGGGGGGGACTGGAAGAGAGCCTAACAAAAGAGGGGATTTGATTTTTCTCCAGAAACGAGAAGGGAAGACAGAATAAAGACTCAAAATACCCTTTTTCTAATTTTTTATTTTTTTAGTTCATCCACGTGGATTTGTTACCAAATAGAGAGTGTCCAGCTCAGCGTTCCGTTAGTCTAGCTCAGCCCGTTACTTAAGACCGTCAAAGAATTAGATGGAAGTGACTATTTTTTGTATTTCTCCAAAAGTGGCTATATTTGGCCAAACCGTCAAAATTTTGGCTGCACTGGTGTATTTTGCCTAATTTTTTTGGAAGACAGAATGCAATTGTTGTTAAGATTATAGCTTAAGGTGCATAATCCCAAGTTTCAGCACAATGAGTAACTACCACCCTCTCCAACATTAATTGTTACAGACTATATCTCCTTCATTTTAACTCGAAATTTCACATTTTTCACAAAAATATGGATGATTACTACACAAGAAAGACATTCACCATAAAAAAATTTAGAACATATTTTTTTTAGATGTGTCTTATACCATGTTGGTATAAAAAATATACCATGTTTGTTTATTTATATGGTTTGAAAAACTAGTCAAGATATATCGCAATGGATTTCACTTTGTTGATTACTCTTAATTGATTTTAGTGTAACTTTTATAAATCCAACTTGAAACGAAGAAAATACTACTTGATTGATGAAATGAAAGAATTAATAAACATTTAAATTTGAAACATTAAAATATTTAATGACTTGATTTTGATTATAACATTATTTTATACTTATACATCCGAACCTAATCTTAGGGGCTTAGGATAGGGAATAGTAACCATTGGTTACTGACTTATGAGTAACTAAATCTGGACATTTAGATTTAAATGAGCCCAGAAAATCCAGATCTAAGGGTTGTCAAATAAAGCATTTTATTTTTCCTAGTTTTCATAATCGACTCTTATCTTCTTCGTTCTTTTTTTTAAACCAAAAGATAGCTTGTATTACCAAGAAACAAAGATCACAAACGGTTACATCTCCGAATGGAGCCAAACGCAAAAATCAAACCCCTCGATAAGAGTAGGATACAAAGAAAGGGCCTTCCTAGCCACCCTATGGGCTACCCTATTGTTATCCCTACCTACAAATCGAAGAACATCCACATCCACCGCAGCCAACAAGGCCTGGACTTCCTGCAACACTGCACCTCCATAGCAATCCCTCGTACTGCCAGCCAATATCTTGTCAATAACTACCTCAGCGTCCCCCTGGTAGCACACACCTTGCACACCCATCGACCGACACCACAAGATTGCCTCACGTAGAGCCAGCAACTCCACCAGCATTGGATCCGTAATCTCCGCCCATCCCTTTCCCAAAGCTCTAACCACCACCCCATCCGGCCCTTGAAGAAAAATCCCCACAGCAGAGTGCGATGCCTGACGCACTGCTCCATCAAAGGAGCACACCCACAGCACCCCTGGTGGTGGCAGAACCAAGTCCAAAGGCAACATCCGTCTCTGCGCTTGAAGGCTGACCTCTGCCATCCTCGTCATCTGCTGCCATTCCTCAACCTGAACTAACCACTGGTTACGCAAAACCTCCTTAGTATATTGCCATCCCTCAAACACCACCCAGTTGTGAGATTTCCACACCCGCCACAGCAGAGAGACAAACGCATAATAACCTCCTCATTTGTCACCTTCTCCAGCAGCCGCCGAACAAATAACCCCACGTTCTCCTCCGGGAGCCCAGCCCGGATCTCCGCCAGCCCTGACTCTGCCCATAACTCCTTAGCCACAGGACATTGAAGGAACAAATGCTCTAGGGTCTCCATCTCATGCCTACACACCGGGCATCGCTCCAGCACCTCAATCTCTTGAGCAATAAAGGCCTCCGTCGTCGGCAAGATCCTGCTCATGACCTGCCACATAAAAAACCTGAGCTTCAGCGGAATCCCAAGATTCCACAACTTCCTCCACAAGGCAGAGTCCATCCAAGATGGCTCAGACTTCCCCTTCCATCGGGCCTTGTTCAACCTCATCGCCAAATGATATCCGGACTTAACCGTATACTCCCCTGTTCGGTCCTCATGCCAGATCAGCTTGTCTCGTACAGGAAACCGTGGAAGAACAATCGATTTAATCGCCCTCACGACCTCAGGGGCAAAGCAATTAGCCAAACAATCTTCACACCACGTCCCCGGCTCTTCCCCCATTAGACCGGCCACCGTAGCACCCTCCCAAAGATGAGCTGAGGGCAACACCGTCGGAGGATTAGGATGACACCCCGAAACCCAATTTGCTGTCATAATCTCCACCTCCTCCCCCGACCCTACTTGCCATCGCAGGCCTGCCTTCAACAACTATACCCCATGCAAGACGCTCTGCCACCCCCAAGACTGTCTCGACCGCGCTGTCGACACCAGCAGCGTTCCGTTCGGATAATATTTCCCTTTATAGATTCGAGCAAGCAACGAGTCCGGGTCCTGAATAATCCGCCAACCAATCTTCGCAAGTAGAGCTTGATTAAACTGCTCAAAACGACGGAAACCCAATCCCCCATCTTGCTTACTTCGACACAATTTTCTCCATGACATCCAATGAATTCTGTCTATCGCACCACCCCACCAGAAGCGAGCCATATACTTATCAAGGCGATGACAAAGCGTCACCGGAAGCTTAAAACATGCCATAACATAGACAGGCAATGCCGCCGCCACCGACTTTAACAGAGTCTCCTTCGTCGCCCAGGATAAGTGCCGCTGCTTCCATCCTTGCAACTTCTGCAAAAGCTTCTCCTCCAGGAAGCGGAAAGTTTCGGACTTCGAACGAGCAATTAAGGTGGGCAGACCTAGGTACTTATCCTGGACCCCCATAGCCCCAACCCCCAATCGAGCTGCCATAGCCTCACAATCCACCTGGAGAACATTGCGACTAAAGCAAACAGCAGACTTATCCAAATTGACCCGTTGACTGCTCAATTCCTCATATTCTCCCAAAACTTGGAGCAGATTCTCACACTGTTGCATCGAAGCTTGCACAAACATATATGAATCATCCGCGAAGAACAAATTAGACACCCTAGGTGCTTGCGGGCTAACCCGCACACCCGTTAACCGCCTCTCCAACACTGCTTTTTTAATCAATGTAGTCAATCCCTCCGTACACAGAAAAAAAAACCGGGGGGGACAGCGGATCCCCCTGCCGCAAGCCCCGGGATGATCGAAAATACCCTGCAGGCATTCCATTCATCATGACGGATTAGGATGAAGACGAAATACATTCATGAATCCACTTGACCCACTGCTCCCCAAACCCCAGCTTCTTCAGGAGCGAAAGTAAGAATGGCCACTCGACCCTGTCATAGGCCTTTTCCATATCAACCTTTAGTGCCATGTATCCCTTCTTCCCTTTCGTCTTAATTTTAAGATAGTGCATGATTTCATGCCCAATCAGAACGTTATCAACAATCTGTCTCTCCTTGATAAAAGCATTTTGCTCAGGAGATACAACTACTGGTAACACCACCGCAAGTCGATTTGCTAAGATCTTCGAGACAATCTTATAAATGACTTGGCATAGGCTGATCGGCCTCAATTGGCGCATCGTCTCTACTTCTTCCACTTTAGGAATTAACGTAATCCACGTGTGATTAAAGCTACGGAGAAGTTTTCCATTCGCAAAGAAAGACCCCACCGCCTCCACCACCAAGGGCCCTACTATATCCCAATACGACCGAAAGAATTTTGCCGTGAACCCATCAGACCCTGGCGCTTGCGTCGGCCCAATCGAGAAAACAGTACGCCGGATCTCGTCAGCCGAGACAGGGGCAACCAGTTTCTGGTTCATATCGGTTGTGACCAGCCACTCAATTGGCAGCGCCGCCACCCTAGCATCCACATCCCCAATCTGGAATTCAGACGTAAACAGATTATCAAAAAACTCAACCGCCATTTTAGCCTTATCCGGCTCTTCCTCGACCCATCCACCGTCCTCGCAACGGAGTTTGGCGATAAAATTCTTCCTACGCCTAGTTCGCGTGACCGTATGAAAATACGAAGAATTTCTATCCCCTTCCTTCAACCAGCGAACCCGGGACTTTTGCTTCCAGAATAACTCCTCCGTTGTCCATTGTCTTCCCAAATCCCCCTCCAGATCCCTTAACTTATCCCAATCCACCGGATTAGCCCTCCTGACCGCCTCAATCTCTCCTTGTAGAGTTCGAATATTCCTCGCTGAGTTAGACTCCCCGACACGGGCCCAATCATATAGCATATGTCGGACTTTCTTAAGCTTCGTCCACAGTTTATACATGGGCGACCCCGCCTCCTCCTGCAGCCAAACATAGTTGACCATCAATCGCACCTCCGGGTTTTCCACCCATCGGGCATCGAATCGGAACAAACGTCGGGCCATTCTCTTAAATGGTTTATCAGCCACTATGAGCGCCCGATGATCGGAACCAATATCCGTACAATGGAGAACAATCGTGTCCGGGAAGGACCCCGCCCAGCCAGTAGAGCCTAACGCACGATCCAGCCTTTTCTGCACACACGCGGCCCCCATCCGCTTATTCGTCCAAGTGAACAAAGGTCCCTGAGACCCAAGGTCCCTTAGAGCCAGCGCATCAACAAAATCACGAAAATCCTGGGACTGGGCAGGGGTCTACGGCACCCCTCCATCCTTCTCATTAGAGGACAAAATCGAGTTGAAATCCCCCATTATGATAAAAGGTTCCGAGATTCCCTGGAAATAAACACGAAGGGCCTCCAACTGCCCCCTACGCACTGCTTCAACGCAACTAATGTAAACACACACCACCACATACGGAATTTCCATATTATTAATCCAAATAGAAATAAAAAAAGTAGAACTAGACAAAACCGAGGCACAAATGCTCGGGGACCAACCTACCGCTAGGCCTCCAGACATGTCAACGACATCAACAAGAAAACAAGACTCAAAATCAAAACCTAAACCTCGCATACAACGAGTGACACTTTTCGACGAGATCTGGTCTCCGACAAGAAAACCAAATCCGGATTATTGACTCTAACTAATCCTAACAGCGATTGGAACGTGAGGGATGGCCCAATCCCTCTCACGTTCCACGACAAAAGTCTCATTTAATCGATTGGGACCATTTCGGGCTGGCTACCTCCATCGTCTCTCCTAGCTCCTCGCCTGACTTTTCCGCGCAAATTTTCTTTGTAGGTGTCGGATCCCGCGGAAGATCCTCCACCATGTCCGCCGATCTCTTCTGATCCTCTAGCTCCTCATCCGCAATCGCCATCCTGAACACCTCCAAAATCATGGGAAAGTTAGATCCATATTCATTAGCCACCGTTGTGGCCGCATCAAGCATCACGTGACTCTCGCCCCCATCCTGCTTCTCTGACACCATCGCGGCCTGTTCTCCACCAAGTTTCCCAGCCGGTTTCTCCCAGGCCTTTTTGTCAACCAGGCCCACATCCCCACACCCGCCCAAAGGCGATGGGCCACCTTCCTTAGCCCCAAGGCCCACCACCACCTCCGGCCCCATATCCAGCTGCCCCTCACGCGTCATCCCCCCATCTCGCGAGAATCCTTCTGTTGTTTTCCCAGGTCGGCACTGCGGCCCACGCTAGCTCCCTCCTCCCGCATTTGCTTCCCTTTTACTCCGCCCTTCGCTCCATCCCCCATCTCCATCACCGCCATATCGGCTCGCCCCCAATGGTTGATGGGTGCTTCCCGCGAGCACTGGAGGTTGGGGCCTTGGGCTGCCTCGCCATCCTCGGCCGACTCCCCGTCTCCTCCGCCTGAGACCCACGGCCAGTCTTTAGAGAGCCAGTTGTTCCCCCCTGCCGATTCGATTCCCGGCTCCCAGCACCTTGCGTCTTCTCCTGCGAGCCTTTTGGATCGCGTTCTCCACCTGCAGGTACAGCCAAGACCGTCTCCCGCCAAACCCCCTTCTCCTCCGGCTTCCGTTTCTCACCGCGAGCCGTCACCAAACTAGCGGCCAGCTGCCCCTTAGTTTTGGGATTAACCCACACAGACTGCGGCAACGGCGGGGCAATGAATTGGGCCGCTTTGAGTGTCTCTTCGTTGAGACGAAAACCCACCTCTGTAGTCGCCATTTCTTGACTATACCTCTCTTCTCCAATCGGCGCCGGGTACACACAATTTCTTTCCATATGCCCCAACCTGCCACAATGAAAGCAGAAAAGGGGAAGGAACTCATAGGCGAAAATCACCCAGAACTTTCCAGCAACGTCATTGCTCGCCCAAACTTGCAATCGTAGCGGCTCCAGAACATTGATCTTCACTCGAGCTTTAACGAACTGATCCGATTCTCCTTTGATGCCGAACAGTCCAACATCAAGCACCTCGCCCAACTTCATCTCCGCAACCCTTCTCCCAAATGCAATAGTGCGGCAGTGAGATGGGATTCCCCACATCTGCACCCCGAATGGCGCAAATCCTAGGGAGTCAAACACCTCCTCCGTAACCGGTGCCCATTGCTGGAGCTGCAGAACCCGATCCTTCACCGGCCAGGGCGTACGCTTCAACACCCATTCCATATCTTCCGCATCATCGAACAAGAATTGGAGTAGCCCCATCTCCGCCTCCAGCACCTGCACCTTCTTCCGGCATTCCCAGGCATTCGTTACAATCTTGTGAATAACCGAGAGGCTCGGTCGGTTCTCAATGAAGAGCCTCCCTAGCAGACTCATCTTCGCCCTCTGCATACTCACAGCAACATCTTCAGTGGAAAATTCCACTATTTGGTCTTGGCAAATGCTCGAATCCGCCATTGTCCATAGTCCCTGCTGTTCGATGTTGTTCTTGGGCTTCGAGGCACCCACACTCAATCGCACTGAGAAGGTAAGCACTCGGCCAAATCTCAATCTCTGTAGGCAGTTCACCAGCCAACCCTTGTATCTTTTTTGTACGAATAGGTTGCTGTACACTTCGGCCAAATTTAAAGGGACTCCTAGCGTCCTTTCCCATGTAGGAAACCTGGTAGAATCCTGGAGGATAGCCACCGGGTTTATTTGTGTAACAGAAAAACACTTTGATTTGTCTTTATCATCATCCCAACCCCCCAACTGATTTCGGTTGAGGTATATCTTCTTCCGGATTTCAAAATTACAATTCTCAATATTATCAATATCTCCATCAAATCGGATGCTGCGGATTCTCCGCCAACCGCTCCACGTCAGCTCCAGAGCCCAATCACCACCGCCAGTCACCGGAATTGTGCTCTGGTCGTCAATCCGGCCCCATACCCCATCAGGGTGTAACGTTGATCGCCGGATTTGAATCTTACTTCTAATCAATGACATGACATTTGCTTTCCAACGGCACCATTGCCGGTCCCTAACCTCCATTCGAGGATCACTAGCCTGCCCACATCGAGCATCAGCCATCAAAATCTCCCCGCCCCGTGCGTCTTCCAGCCAGCGTTGCTTCGCCGCCGTGCGCAGCATAGGGCCATCGGTGTGCCAGAACGCACCCCACCGCTTCAACACTCCTTCCCAAAGCCATCTCACCCGACGCTCCATCATCGCTAATCCCTCCATGGCTTCATCCTTCGAAAACCAAATGGAGGCGATGATGAAACTTGCCCCGAGTGTTCCTATGATTTTCCATAGGAGAGAGGGCAGAGCATTCATCATTTTTTTAAGCGTTTTGGAGATCTAGAAGTATCAAAATGTAAGTTTTTTTTTTAATTTTTAAAGTGTAGATTTTTACTACAATTGTAAGTGAACAGTACGATTCTACGTAGAAGCGTTTTGATAACCTAAAAAATATAAAAGTGTAAAATTGTAAATTTCAGTTTTGACTACAATACTTTTGACTTTTGAGTAAATAATAATAATAATAATAATAATACTTTTCGGTTCTTCATTTTATGCAACATGCGTAGTTCTTTACCTCCTCTCAACATATTACCTATACCTCGGGGATCGTATAGAGTATTAACACCCTATGTGTTAGCACTATGCTAACAATAATTAATAAAGGTATTATGGACTAAAAAACTTGAATGGAAACGGTAATGATATTTTATACAAAGCCATACTAATGATTTTTTTGAAAGATCATATATCACTAGTCACTACCCATACTAATACTTATCATATAAGACTCATGCTTCATTCCATACTCGTTATATACTACTCATACTCATATTTGCATTGTTTGAAGTTTTTTCATAGCTTTTTATGGGGGACATGAACAAAGAGCATTTTATTTCGTTCTAATAACTAAATTGTATCATAAAAGCATTTGCATCCACGTGTTCATACGGGAAAATCATTTTTTTGTCCAGTATAAATAAACATATTTTTTTTTAGAGAAGTAATGGAAATGAAACCAGTCGACTTGACCAAGCTAATTTTTTTATGAGGTACCATGATATAATATGCCAAGCATCGCTCCACCGAGAGGAAATTAAATGTCATGACGATCACTGAGAAGATGGCAAATGTCCAGATCACTCCAGAAACTTTGGTAGTTGTCTTCCTGGAACATCATCATATTATCAACACTCTTCTCTTGATGATCTGGCATTATGGACGACATTAATTGGCCGAGAGGAAACTGATCAGCTTCGTGGTCCACCGCCACTGGTAGATTATTATTAATGCCATCGTCGAGGAATCTCTCTAGCTGGTCCATCCACGTGATTTCGGCGCCGTCATGATTCTCCTGACAACGACGGCGATCATCTTGCTGACTTGTCGGCAACTTATGATGAAGATTAATAATATTTTTGGGCTTATTTGATGTAGCGGGATTGTTGGGCTCGATAGGCTTCATGGGCCAGGAGAGGCTTTTGGTTTTGGATGAGAAGGTCCGAGGTCGCGGCTTGATAATGTTGGCTTTCGTTCTCTGGGGTCGTGAGATATTGTTTTTGGCACCGGCAGCCGGTTGCCGGCTGTCGCTAAGATAGGCTAGTTTGCATGGGAACGGTGCCGTCGCCGTCTTTTTCTTCTGGTCGGTGTTCCAGTAGTTCTTCACGTCGTTGGCGGTTCTTCCCGGCAGACGCCCCGCAATCAGCGACCATCTGCGTTAACAGTAGTGTTCCCACAAATATATTTAGAAATGACCAACAGGCAATAAGTCTGAGTTATTTTGTTTCCTATTATAATAATAAAGCCAACCACATAAACAAAATCATTTTGCAACCAACAAAACATATTATGTGGGTGTTTGCCATGTATAATACTACTTTCTAAATTTAAATAATAATTATATATGTTCAACTTTCTTTACAAAAGATAACGCCTTCATAAATCTCGAAGTTTAACCTAATTACAAATGGTAGTGTTTGTGAAAGAAAATGATGCGACGTTACGTAGATGACTCTCTTCTTCGCGTCAATGAAATTTGAGGGAGAGAAAATATAAATCCGAGGGGAGACGACGGAGCAATGACTACATAGAAAACAAATAATAGAAAGAGAAGGATAGAAGTGGGTTTACATAAAATAGGCAAGGACATAGTTGGAACATTTGGACTAAATAATGAGTCATTTGGCAATGACTCATGGATAGGAGGCATTTGAAAATGACTTGATAGAGTCATTTGGGACTTTCGTATGAATGAAATGACTTATGCGTTTTTTCTTCAGCAAACGAGTCATTTAACATCGAATGACTCAAGCAAACGACCCCTAGGAGAATTCCATATCAACAAAATACGGGCTAGATTTATGATTCATAAGTAAAATACTGGCTTTAACAAGTAAAACGCGTTTTTACTGCAACGAAGAGTTTTTGTAAGAACTGCAAAATTAAAGGTGTTAACTGTGATACAGTGCAATGATGGGTGACCTTATCAAAAGTTACCTTCATATGCACCCTAAAACAAATTCTTTGAGGGTCTGGACCCATAACCGACAATATATTGTTGGAAAAGGTTCAGGGTGTTACATACATTGTCGTTTTAGATTAAAAAAAGCCTACATAATATTATTATTATTATTATTATTATCGTATATAGAAAATTCATAATATTTTTTTATCATTATTTTATTTTTATTTCCCCGGTAAAAGATATTGGGCCAGATTCTGTCCGGACTGAAAAGATCGGTCCGTGCAAGTCACCGAGAACTGAAGTGTCGGGGTCTTGACTTTGCCGCTTACAAGGACAAAAACTATGAACCTTCTCGTTTTCGTCTATCTTGTTTTGAATAATAAAATGTTGATTTGCTTTGATGGAAACCCTTTTGGCTTCTGTCAACTTATTCATCTTCAATAGGAAAGAAGAAGAAGAAAAACACAAACACTTGTAGAGTTTGTCTGTCTGCAGCGGAACGTTAACAGCTCCGAACTTCAAAGGGGGGCCGGCCGGCCGCTGTTCTGTCGGAAAACGACCGCAAAATCTGTGCATCCAATTGATGTCCGAAACGTGACACACTTTATCCAATCATGAGGCAGGTTTATGATGATAAGTTGGCGTTTGTTACTTCTAATGATTTCGTCTCTGTGACATCAACTCGTGTGTTTGATGACGTTTACCATTGGGTGAACCTTAATTAGATTTCCATTTTTTTCCTTCTCCCAACGGTCGTAATTGGGGCCACGTTCGCAAAAACATGAAGCAGTGAAACAAATACTAATAATGAACAAAATGACAATGTATCTAGCTAGCTGCGGTCGCTGTAATTTTGCTTTTCATGAGAAAAAGGAAGCGTACGTGTGACCTCGCTTATTATATGCATTTACGATAATCCTAATTAGTTTAGAGATCAATGTATATAACACCAATGGCTATCGCTTAAGCTAGCATGGCTTGAGACTTGACTTGATGAATTTTATGTTGATATATTCGCATCAAAATGTTAATGGTTGAGAAATGGACTCTTCGTTAAATTGGTTTAGAATTTTTGTCACACCGTGACAACAAAATTATACAACTCATTTATAATTGAGGCAGATCGTCTATTTTTATCCAATTTTTTTTTTCTTCTTCTTTTAATTAATTCTTTTTTACTACACAATGATAAAAGTGATACGTCCATATGATTGTGATTAGATAATTGATATATAAACTAAATTTTACCGTCATGAGCTAAGGAGTGTGGTAGGATTGGTGAAATGATTAGGAAAAATTGATTGATGGGAGTTATTATGGAATTACAGGATAAAATTAGGTTATCTGCTTTAAAATATGTGAAATTACTTGACCAATTGGTCTAATTGTGTGAAAAAAATAACCCGTTTGCAAGAACTGCAAAAATTAAATATGTAATTTAGCTCTCGCACAATCGGAAGAAACCTCAGTCCTTTTCTTCTAAAAATATCATGCAGTGAATTTATTATTTTTTTTTTATAGATAAGGGTGATAATATATAGGTTTGGTTTTATCATTAACTACTATTAAATGGATTTGAATCTGAGACCATTAGGTTCAAAACTAGTGATATTACTACTAGATTAAATTCTTGTTCATAATATTGTGCATTTAATTAGTTAGTGCAAAAAAAGACTCATTAAAATATTTCTATATTTTAATTTTGACGTTAATATGTTTTTTTAAGAATCGTTTGGACACATCATTTTACCACATGTTGTATTTATAAGTTATTTCAAATAATTTATTGGTGTCAATTGTGATAAAAAGTGAGTCAAGTGAAATAGCTTTGCTCAAAATGCCACATCTCGACTTTTTTTCCTGCCAAACAGGTTATTTTGTGCAAACTAATTAATAATAATGCGTTATTCATATACCAGACCAACTCATCAAAATACCTTTTTCAAACGACCCAATAGTACGTAGATGAGAAATTGTAGGCAATTAAGTACCCTAGAATAACAACTAAAAGGAATATATATATATATATATATATATATACTACTTCGGTGCACTCACAAAAATGAGTGTTCAATGCACCCAACTCAAAAACTAGTCTTAAGGTGTCGAATTTTGAATTTTAAGATGTAGAATTAGTGTAATATGATGATATAACATATGATAACAACTAATTAGTGGATAAACCTAAGCCCTAGACCTCCAATTTTGAGTTCTATCCGTAAACCCCAAATTATAAACCCTAACCCTAATCCTAAATCTCTAAACTCTAATCCTTCAAATTAAAGTAAATCTTTAATGATTTTTTGTGCAAATTCATGTGCGTTATTGTTCATCACATCATAAGTGATGATTGGCATCATTTTGACATAAATCGCATATTTAAAGTAATGGTTATGAAGCGAGTGCACTGAAATCACCCAAAAAAGTGAGTGCACCGAAAACGTCACCATATATATATATATATACTTTTCAATTCTTGATTAGTACAGGAATTCACCTGTTACCCAACAGCTTGTGCAACCTGACAATGAGATCAACCTCATCATCTGAGAACTCTCCTCTCTTGATGTTTGGCGTCAGATAGTTCAGCCACCTCAGCCTACAACTTTTCCTACATCTGTTCAATCCTGCAAGAATACCAAAATGAGCTCCAACACTAGTAAACTATTTACCGAGTTTTAATTATTTCCTATTTCGAGCTATTGATCAAGTGTAACTACTCCAAGATACCCTTATTTAACACAAACCCTAATTCATTAAGAAGAAAGGCTTTTTGGTGGTGTACACCTTGTACGTAGCCCATAGCGTAGAAGTACGTGGTCATAGTAGGGTGGCTATATGGTCCGGTTAAATTGGCCCGAATTGATCCGGTCTCGGTCAGGTCTTTTCGAGAATATAAGGACCAAAGATTGGACTGGATACAGTTCAGCCTTGAACCGGTATGATCCCAATTCGGTCTTGATTTTAGATTGAGTTTGTTGGGATTTGAGTGGCCTAAGGCCTGAAAGGGTGAGGAGGTTAAATTTTGGGTGTTGGACTCTCTTATCCTGTCTTTATCCGATTTTCGATCCGGTCACAAACCGTTTTTTTTACCTCAAATCTAGGCCCGAAAATTGGATGAAATTGTTTGCTATCCGGTATCAATCCGGATTATACGGTCCAATTTCGGGTAAAAACAAAAAACCCCAAACCAAATAATCAGCCCTAGCTTTGAGCATCTTGAGAAATTGAGTACTTCATATTTTTCTGCATACTTACAGAACTTACTCCAACGTCTTTAGAAAATATAGATATAGATATAGATATACCTGCACGAACGGGAACCTGATGCCATCTGCCTTCGCCGTAAACCTCAATGCATCGACGCAGCAGCCTATCCTCTTGTTCAGTCCATGCTCCCTTCCTTAGTCCTCCGGCGGCCACGCTCTCCATCTTCCACCGGCCGGCCAACCCTAGCCAGTCTTTCTTAGATATATAACTAAGCTATAAGAACTAAGAAGGTGTGTGTTTCGATCGACCGATCTTATTATGACGAGCAATCGGCCGCCCGCAGCTTCATTATATAGACTGACTATACACACTACAGTACACAAACTAACACTTGCCCAATATCGATAGATAGATTTAAAATATGGGATTGATACATGGACACGTCAGCCGAATCCTTTTGGCAACGTCGACAGATGCAATCATTGGGAAAACAAGGCAGCTGGGGGCGCTGGGGTGGCTGTCTATCTCCACCACCACAGGAAATTCATGTCTCTGCAATCTCATGCATGCCACTTAGCCTAGCGCTTTTACTGGAATTGACTCAGTCGTCATGGCGAACCCAGGTCCAATACGTACCCTTGCCAGCGATCGAGTCGGCCTACGACTTTGTCATGATAGTCGTCGATAGTTCAAATACCGAAACATAATTTATCAAGAGAGATCGTCTAATCGATCGTCTAGTCTTACCCTGTTATATATGATGTTATATCATCATCTGGTTTCTTGACTAACCAACATTTTCTGTAATTGTCGTTACTTATGTCGCTACAAAATATATGTAATTATTAAGACATTTTTCATAAACGACGCCACACACTCATCTTGTCCCGACATTTACAAAAAACTATCGCAACATACGTCGCTATAAAATATGTTTTATCGACACTTGAACGACATTTTTTTAAAATTGTCGTAGTAAGAATATCGTTACAGAGGAGTTTTTTTATGCAGTGCGCTTTGATATGTCTCAGCCAAAAGCACCTATAAGAAACCATATATGAATGGCCATAGTCAAGTTGTAATGATCCCTTACCTTAATTTTGCTGTCGAACAACTTAAATGTCCAATGAAAAATGAATGTTCCTATTCCAAAATTCGAAAGAAAGACACACAAAAAAACTCATCTCACCAGTTCAAAGTTCTTTTTTTTGTTTAGCTTGGCAGGCACTACATGCATTTTTTGGGTACTTACCGTTAATAGGGGTTTGTATTTCAAAATATTGAGACATTCTATTTAAAAAAAAAAAATGTGCGTAGGAGTTAGATAGACGCAGCTGCCGTGGAACATTATCTATATGGTTCATAATGAATCATTGTTTTTTCTCTTATTTTAATGGATGTCGGGGATTGAACAAAAACCCTTTTAAGAGTCTCTTTCAGGTCTGTGTCTTTGATACGAGTTAGGAAGGAAGTTAATCTTAGGCTCTTAGCCATGGTCTTTGGCGCTCGTATTTATGTCACCTGTTGGTTGCTTTTAGGTAAGTTGGTCCAATATTTGCCAAAATCAAATAAATGAAAGTTGGTCCTCCTTTACTTTCCAATCATAAGCACTCATCAAAATTATATATATATATAAAAGAAATAATGGACAAAAGTACCAAGTACCGGGCCCAATCTGGCGGTATGTTAATAATCAAGGATAGATTCTCTTTTGATTTTTTTTTGTTTGTTTTCATAAATATACTTTATTAACTAATTTTATGGTGAGCTTATTTTTTGTGGTGGTTGTTCTGGTCTAATCTCGCAATCGCTTTGTTGCTTGTTGCTTGTTTGGTTCAAATGTCGTTTTGTGGCCGTTAATTTGATTCAATCTCCATTTTTCTTCAAAACACGAGCGTCGAGTTCCCTCCATCGTATTTGTTCATCACATACGACGTCTGGTTCAATCTTTAATTTTTGACAAGAATAACAACTACACAGGAAACAAAGATACTACTATAGGTTTTTTTTTGTCTGGAGAAGGAGTTTAACCGAAAACACAAAATTCTAGGAAGTTAGGATTCAATTGCGAAAAGTTTGACTAATATTTAGTCTGGAGAAGGAGCTTAACTGAAAACCCAAAATTCATTTGCCGGATCATCCTTAACTAATGGAAGTGATGAATTTTTAACAATAACTTAACGGTTGTTATTATTATGTATTAAGGTTTGACTAAGACTAATATTTTGTTAAAATTAAATTTTTTGATTAATAAATTGTATTTAATTTATTATTATTTAAGTTTTACTTTTGAGATACATAAACTATATATGCTGCAAATATACTATATTCTCATTGTGTCGTATGCTGGCTACAAAAACATGAATTTTATGACCATATATTATAGTTAGGATTAATGGATATGCTAACTAATTTACCCTCAATGTCAATGCACACTACAACCCTAACGTTTATGTGTAATAAATTATGACATCGGGTGTTTATAAATGACGCAAACGTTATGTCTCTTACATGCGCCTGATTGGTACTTAACCGGACCAGAATTATAAGTGTTGGTCGAAAAACGATATGAACTTATTTACAATCAACACAACGCTCTTCCTTAAATGAAAGCAAACTCAAAGGTTTGAAATTTTCATGGACTCACCATATATTTTATTTAAATCAATTGATATTATTAGGATCATCAAAATTGAACACACGATCACTTTGTCAACCCAACTCTTATATTATTTAATTTCAATAACTCAAATGGCTAGAATAAGGTTTATTTTAGATATTTATATCATGCTTACATATCATCTCAAACGAAAGACAATTCACATATTTAAAATTTTTCATGCTCACCATACCTTATTCTTAAATTAACAGTTAATATAGATGGTCATTTGTATTCGAGATTTGACAAAAAAAATTAAAAAAAATTCACGCAATCAAGGCTTTTCTCTTTTTGGGACTTTTGTTGTACCCTAAATAGGAAAGCAATTGTCGCCTGCGTTATATGGCACAGTGGTGGTAGATCGTGGCATGGCGTGGTTCATTCACACTGCTCTGTTTGCTGTTTCTTTTGCTAAATTCTGATGTGTAGAAACTAAAAGATATGACCATGAGGATTGATAGTGAAAATTCAAAAGGATACTGATCACAAGCGTACGTACCAGCATCCATGTATTATAGTTCCTGCAAAACTTCTGCAAAGAATTTGCTATCAATCTTCAAAGCACTGGATTCATCTTCTTTCGTTATCAAATTCCATATGAGAAGTTTTTCATTCGAACAGTCTTTCACTAAATATGTAGTTGAAATCTTATTTTCACGTATATATAGTTCCTGCAAAACTTCTGCAAAGAATTTGCTATCAATCTTCAAAGCACTGGATTCATCTTCTTTCGTTATCAAATTCCATATGAAAAGTTTTTCATTCGAACAGTATTTCACTAAATATGTAGTTGAAATCTTATTTTCACGTATGTTATTTAGAATAACTAATGATCGCATACAAGTCATTTACCATACAATCCAAATTCTAGACCTCATATATCCAACAATCTAAATCCTAAATTATCCTAAACTCTAATCTAACCTACCATCTAAACTCTGAATCTTGATCTAACCTGTAATATTTTAAATTCAAAATCCCAACCTAACCTACAACATCCATTCAAAATTCACAACCTACAATCCATATTCAGAATTCTAATTTCTCATACAATGTAACTTTAGTCAAGAAAATTAGCTTGATTACAACTTACTCTACTGTAATCAAGGTGAACACACCGCTGATGACCTTATCATTGGAAGTAGTGTACTACTGTTGCTTGTTGCAACTCTTATGTTGCACGAACAATGACAACTTGTACCTAAAACCTAAACAAATTACAAACACTTTTATTTAGGTTTTATTAAGATAGCAAAAGGAAAAGATGTATGTAGAATGGTGGAGGGAGGAAAACATGAAGTTCAAGAGATTGAGATCAGAGACCCGCTTCCTAAATCGCTGAAAATTGCAACGATTTATCTAGCCCAAATTCATGGAAAATTATGGAAATTTATATAATAGGTGTGGCATTATGGAATTTTTTTATTAACTTCCGCATTTTGATAAAAGATTCACTTCTTTCCAATGCACATAATGCAATACCTTATATGTCGATCCATTAACTTTGTATTTTTTTATAATACCTTCCAATGATTGTTAAAACGTACCGGAGGTTGTACTGGAAAAATCAGGGGTTATAGGTATAATATACCGCTCTACTATGACGTTTTACCAAACATGCCCCTTTACTATATTTTACATTAAACATGCCCCTGTACTTTGTAAAAATTATCAAACATGCCCTTTTGTTAAAATTTTCATCCAAAAACCGTTAATCATGGTCAAAATTTGGTTTGGGCGACACAAATGTCTAAAATATCCCTAATAATTTCACTTTAGAATTTTTTGGTCCTTTTGTATAGCTAAATAATTCTAATAATTTCACTTTGACGAGACCCAGAGAAATAAAACAGGGGACAAAACTGACATTTTCCCTCCCATTTGCCGATGTCGGGTCGTCTAAATCTTGGTTCAACCATGATTGATAATTTTTTCAATGTAAATTTTAACAGAAGGACATGTTTGATAATTTTTCCAAAATACATGGGCATGTTTGATGTAAAAAATAGTAGAGGGGCATATTATACCTATAACCCAAAAATAAGCGATATAGTATTTTATGTTTTAGCCGTGGTTCATCGTTTCATAGCGTTAAAAGAGTCCACCGATTTAGCCTCCCATAGGATATTATCTCGCCCTGATTGGAATACTCCACAGGTACGTAGTTGATATCAAATTGATAAAGATCAGTGTAAGAAGACATGGATAACATATAAGAAGTTTGCACCATCAAGCTAAGTGCAAAATCCCATCAAAGAGAGTTCAGTAGAAAAGAGAAACTAACCCTTCTCCACTCAAAGAAGTGGTTGGAATGTATATTACGTGCCAAAACCATGAACCGCAATTTCTCTTTGGAAAGTGGAATCGGGAATTGAGCAAGTTCCATTACTACAAGTACTAGGGGCGCGATCGAAGCTGCAAAAGCCCCAGGCAGCAGCATCCAAACTGAAGACTCTGGCGTACATTAATTGATTAACAGAGAAAAGGAAAGAAGACAATAGGACGGTATTCTGTCCTCGTGCAGAAAAAGCTACTGATAGTGAACAGATACCAAAGATATTAGGGACCAGTAGCAGAAAGGCAGAAACCCTAGCAGCAGTGGCGGACCCAAAGCTCAGGTAGGTGCGTCACCTCTAAAATTTGGAGAACAAAATATAGATGGTAGTATGTGAAAAATAACGCCAACCATGAAAAAAATTTGTATGATGTTACAATTTTTACATATAATATGTTTTATTTTCTTTGTTTTATATCCAAATAACGCAAACCATGAAAACAAAATTCATTTATCAACTAACATGTATCCTATTATATGGATATTAGACACATATAAATGATGGTTCAAACGTATATCATTTTACAACCAAACATAATCTATATTTGAAACCCGTTTCCAAAATAGTCACGAATATTTTACTAAAATTAATTGAAAAGTATTAATGAAAAATAATTGAAAGTGTTGTTTTGAAATAATTGAAAAGTATTAGATTTATGAAGACAAAATATAGAAGAGCAAGTATTGTGTATATGAAAAATGGAGGATAAAGATTGAAAGTTGGTGTAAAAAAACCCAGTAATTTGCAAGATTGGGGATAATATTTGCTAATGCCTCATCCCTTTTGTTTTTCATTGGCTAGTGTCCAACTCCCAAAGTGGCTAAGTCTCTTGAGCGTCTCGCCAACTAGGGTAGGAAATCAGTACAGTATCGGTATCCCAGTATCAATTACCAAATAGTGTCCTAAACTTAATAAATTTGATATCTCGATCCAAATCCCAGAAAATTTGTTCGGTATCGGTATAAACTAAATATCAAATTAGTTATGTTCAAAAATTACAAATCAAATATTCAAATGCAAATACTTCTCCTCTGTGAGCACCTCCACAAATCTGCATCAAACCATAAGAATTTGTTTTGGTACTGGTATTAGAATTTTTACATATAATATGTTTTATTTTCTTGTTTTTATATCCAAATAACGCCAACCATGAAAACAAAATTCAGTTATCATTGGCAGTAGTGTACTACTGTTGCTTGTTGCAACTCTTATGTTGCACGAACAATGACAACTTGTACCTAAAACCTAAACAAATTACAAACACTTTTATTTAGGTTTTATTAAGATAGCAAAAGGAAAAGTTGTACGTAGAATGGTGGAGGGAGGAAAACATGAAGTTCAAGAGATTGAGAGATCAGAGACACGCTTCCTAAATCGCTGAAAATTGTAACGATCTAGCCCAAATTCATGGAAAATTATGGAAATTTATATAATAGGTGTGGCATTATGAAGTTTTTTTTATTAACTTCCCGCATTTTGATAAAAGATAATATTTGCTAATGCCTCATCCCTTTTGTTTTTCATTGGCTAGTGTCCAACTCCCAAAGTGACCAAGTCTCTTGAGCGTCTCGCCAACTAGGGTAGGAAATCAGTACAGTATCGGTATCCCTGTACCAATTACCAAATAGTGTCCTAAACTTAATCACAATCTCAATCCCAAAATAAATTTGATATCCCGATCCAAATCCCAGAAAATTTGTTCGGTATCAGTATAAACTAAATATCAAATTAGTTATGTTCAAAAATTACAATGAGTTGAATGCTCGTCATCCTCCTGATGTTTTGGCGTTTGACTGCAGGTTGTCGAAGATATTGTGGAACCTCCCTCTGCCGCCCAAACTTAAGTTCTTCTTTTGGCGGGTGGTTAGGGGATTTCTTCCGCTTCAATCAGTTCTACTTCAAAAGACTCTAGTTACCTCTCCTACCTGCCCTGTTTGCTCGGATGCCCCAGAGACCTTTAATCATTGTTTTTTCCATTGCAGGGTGGCTCAACCACTATGGACCCTTGCTGGTCTAGCAGATGTTCGTTCCAAGTTGGAGGGTTTACCAATGGATGATGCATGGAATAACCTTTTACTCTCGTTGCGTCTGTCTAAGTTGCAGGTTGCGGAAGTGGTTTTTCTATGCTGGCGGATCTGGAAAGGACGATGCTGGGCAGTCCACGGGGGCATCCAGTACCTTCCCCCCGCCCTGTTGAGACAGTTTCGTTTGGAGGTGGATGAATGGCGAGCAGCTTCCTTAGGCCCAAGTACGCATTCAGGGGGATCTCCTTCTCCGGTAACAGGGATCCCGCGAAGCCCGAGTCCAACAACAACGGGAGTTATTGCCTCGCGAGTGTTGGACGTAAGGTCCGCTGCTTCCCAAGCGTGGCTGGTTCGATTTGACGGGGCCACTAAACGCGCCCGTGGCTGTAGCGTTGGATTTGTCGGGTTCGACTCTCTTGGTGGGCTCACTTTTGCTTTCGGTAAGTTCTATCCTGATATTCAGGACCCTTTCCTAGCTGAACTTTTAGCCTTTAGGGATGCTATGGATTGGTGTCTAACCCGAGGCTTTCTCTCTGTCAAATTCGTTGGGGACTCGCAACTTGTGGTACGGCACGTGTTTACCGATGAGCGTCAACATGCGATGGGTGGAGCTCTTCTGGAAGACGTTCACAGGATGGTGCAGGGGTTTGAGTTCTGCTCGTGTTCTTATGCCAAGCGCATCTTTAACAGGGCCGCCCATTTTGTGGCAAAACAAGCCCTTTCATCGGAAGTTCGACTATTGGTCGACTTCCGCACGGCGTTGAGCTCTGTACTTTGACTTTGTGATTCTCCTTTCTTCTTGTTGACTATGTTAAAAAAAAATTACAAATAGTTGGGAGAAATTGAGGTCTGATAGTAGTGAGTGAGGGAGCCTAGTTGGGAGAAATTGGGTACACACTATCTTAGATTTCTGCATTGATCAGTATTTCTGTATATATTGATCCTAATCATGTAATCTCTAATACAAAATAACAGTTGAAACTCAATCCCACTCCCATAAAATAATACATGTATTCAGTAATATCAAATATCGACAAATTCAGTACGATATTTGGTATATCGCAAATACTGGTACCAAACTTTCATTCCTATATATATATTGATCAGTATTTCCGTATATATATTGATCCCAATCATGTAATCCCTAATACCAAATAACAATTGAAACTCAATCTCAATCCCATAATAATACGTGTATTCGTTAATATCAAGTATCGACAAATACAGTACAATATTCGGTATATTTCAAATACTGGTACCAAACTTCCATCCCTATCGCCAACTCGGTGAGAAGCCCCATTTGTCCAAACTCTGCCTTCGTAACGGAGAATTTTACTTCATTCATCCGCTTCCCGTAACCTCAGTCAGCAAAATGAAAACCCACTGATCCGGTGGATAATCCCGACCCCAAATTAATGGGCTCAATAATCAAGCCCCTTGTAACTTTGCGTATGAGATTCGGCCCAAGCCCAACTGGTTGTGGACGTTGTCATTTTTCACTTTAAAGTTTAAATCTACCATTGCGGCAAGGAACTCAAATCTGCATCAAACCATAAGAATTTGTTTTGGTACTGGTATTAGAATGAGTCCAATGTCAATAAGCTAATTCGGCATGGTGAAGGTTAGGATGCTTCGCATCCATTTATCAACAAAAAAAAAAAGCTAATTCGGCATGGTTAAGTAACATTTTTGGTAGTAGGATGGAGAAGATTACGAGACACTTATTCATGGCAACATATATATATATATATGCTAAAGAAAAGAGCCCTCTGTCAGGTGAAAGACAACTCAGACAGAATAATGTACACACTCAAACAACTGTAATTTAGTAGCGGAAGAAGAATCAATTAAGGTATAGATATTGATAATTAGGGTGCTAGAACTTATGGTGAGAAGCAAAAACCCGAAAAAAATCAGCAATACATCATATATCAGCTACAAACAACAGCTCACTTACAGTCATTCCTCTATACTACAAGCCCTTGGCACCAGGGACATGAATCCAACGAAGCTCGAGTTCGACCTCACCGCACAGATGGAACGAGCTCTTTGTGCTCTACCAAATGAGATCAATTTTCAATCTATTTCGAGAAACTTTCTTTACCAACTACATACCATATGGTAACTTCTTCGTTTTTAATTCATTTTTGAAAACGTTTGCTCAGAAGGAACGAGTTCGTCATGATCTATTGGATCTACAAATTTCTGGGTGAAAAAAAATACTAGACCAAAAATTATCATACTTTACCACTATGGTATGTGGGTGGTAACTTGTGGTAACTTGTAGTAAACAATGATGAAAGTAGTAAATGACAGTTAGTATACTCCTACTTTCATGTATTCAACCTTCTTACCATATTGGTATGTTCATACCATCATGGTACGCTTTATTACCATATGGTATTAAATAGGAGCATATCATATAGTAATGACTGGTTAAAAGTTATTCAATTTTTTTTTACTAAAAATATATCAAAGTTGATATCATTTTAAAGAGTACATTTAATCTGATTTATCTATGCAAAAATATTTAAATTTCAACTTAAAATGAGAGAGAAATCGTCAGTTACATATTAAAGGGGAAAAAATAAAAGACTTTATAGAGAGAGGATGATATTGATGTCATGATGATATTGACGGATTACTCATAATTACTGACCATAAGGTTACATACATGATCCGTTCCCAGCCAAAGGTTGTCCATCTTCAAGTAATTACGAAAAAGAGAAGGAATTACTTGAAATAAGTAAAATAGGAAAAAGAAAGAAAATAAAATTGCATTAGGAAAAAAGTACAGATATAGCAACCTTGTAGTTTACAATACATGAGTTTCAAGATATCGTATGAATAACTTAAGATTTCATGTAATATTAAAATACAATATTTGGTATGAATTAATCGTAGTATTGATGTATTTGTATAAAATAATAATAAAAAATGAAACACCAAACTTGCTAATTAGTAATTACTATAATTCTTTATCTTTCTTTTCAACAAATTTTCTATGTTCCGCCAATTTTGATGAATCATGCAATATTTGGACTACCCAAAGTCCCAAACATTTGAAGAATACACAATCACACATTGACGTGTAATTTGAGATTGCATGGGTCCAAAATAATGAAACTTAATAAATCGATAAATAAAATTAACAAAATAAAATTTACATGAGAAATTGTGAAAAACTTCATCCGAACTGTCCGCTATTTTGCGGCCAAAACTGTCATGCGCTTCCTTTTTCAGTGATTACTTGGTTTTGCAAAGCATGGAACCGACAGAGACAAAACCTCATACCTCCCATTTTCAATATCTATGCTTGGATTCACGTCCACTTCAAAGTTCAAGGGGCTGTTTTGACCTTGCTCCAAAGTTATATCTATGGCTCAGTCAGCCTTTGTGCCGGGACGATGTATTACAGACAACATTATGGCGGCGTTTGAGTGCTTTCACACGATGAGCAAAAGAACTAAAGGGAAGATTGGCTACCTAGCGGCAAAGATTGATATGGCCAAAGCTTACGACAGGGTGGAGTGGCATTTTTTGGAGGGGGTTATGCGAAAGATGGGGTTTGATGAAAGATGGATCAGGATTGTCATGCTGTGTGTGACGACGGTCTCATATTCAGTCCTTGTCAACGGGCACAAGTCAGAAACGTTTGCTCCAGGAAGAGGTATCAGGCAAGGGGATCCGCTATCACCGTACCTCTTTCTGCTGTGTGCGGAGGGGTTATCGGCCTATACTTCCCAAGCAATTCAACAGGGACGTTTACATGGATTTAAACCAGCTCAGGGAGCTCCGGTAATATCACATCTGTTCTTTGCAGACGATAGTATTTTCTTCACTAGAGCGACTGTTCCCGCGAGCTTAATGCTTAAGGGAATACTTCGAGACTATGAGAAAGAATCCGGGCAGCAGGTTAGCTTTCAGAAATCAGACGTGTCCTTCAGCAAGAATGTGTCTCATCATCGACGGTTGGAGATAGGAGGTATTTTGGGTATGAAGGTGGTAGAGAAGCATAATAAGTACCTCGGGTTGGGGACAGTGGCTGGGAGATCGAAGAAGGAGCTGTTTGGGGATATTGTTGAAAGAATTAAAAAGAAACTGAAGGGATGGAAGGAAAAAACTCTCTCGGTTGCGGCAAGAGAGGTGCTCATTAGATCGGTCGCGGAAGCTCAACTTAACTATGCGATGTCAGTCTTTAGGGTGCCAGAAGGTGTGATTGATGAGGTGCAGAGTTTGATCACAAGGTTCTGGTGGGGACAGCGAGGGGAAGAGCGCAAGGCTCATTGGATAAATCGGGATAGGCTAGTGATGCCGAAAGAAATGGGTGGGATGGGATTACGAGAGCTGCGAGGACTCAACACGGCTTTCCTTGCAAAGCAGCTATGGGGATTGCTGAATCAACCAGAGTCCCTTATAGCTCGTATCCTACGAGCAAAGTACCACAAGAACGATTCCATTTTGAATGCAGAACTGGGCTATAGGCCAAGCTTCGTCTAGCGCAGCTTACTTAGTGCGCAGGAGTTCCTGAGAGCAGGTTTAAGATGGCGCATCGGAAATGGAGGACTGGTAAGGGTATGGGGAGATAAATGGGTACCTTCAAAGGAGGAACACTATGTAGATTCGGCGTCGATGGGTCTCCCAGTGGATGCGAGGGTCTGCGAGTTATTGTAGGAGGGAGAGGACAGGTGGGATATGAATATTCTGGAAAGCTGTTTTCCAGCCGAGATGGTACAAGCAATAAGGGCAATTCCGATCCGATCAGGAGAAGCAGATGAATTGATCTGGCAGCACTCAAGCAATGGGGAGTATACGGTTAAGGAAGGATACCGGGTTTGGTTGGAGCAATCGATGGCACAAAAGGGAGTACAGGGGTCAAGTGAGGGAGGATTTTGGAAGAAGTTATGGAGTATGAAAGTGCCCCCCAAGGTGAGACATTTCTTATGGAAATTCGCTAATGATATTCTGCCTACAGGGGACAGGGTGAGCAGAAAGTCTGACAGATGGAGTGAGAAATGTCCTTTCTGCGACGACAGGGAAACACAGCTGCATGCTTTTGTGGAGTGTGCATGGGGATCGAGGATATGGCGCCAATCTCAGTGTGCAGACCTGTATATGTTGCATGACGGGGGAACGACGGTGGAATGGTTGAAGAAGGCTAGGGAGAAAGCAGGGGAGGACTGGTTCGAAGAGTGGAGTGTGCTTCTATGGTTCCTGTGGAAGGAGCGTAATGCTCAATTATTCAATGGGCTGAAAACGGCGGAAGAAGAAATAGTGCAGCGAGCAAAAATCTTCCTAGATGACTACCGGGAACATCAAGAACGGAGAATAGCTACCCAACGTGAGACGGGGGACAGGAAGTGGCGGAAGCCCCCGACGGGCCGAGTAATGGTGAATACAGACGCTGGGATTTTGCAGGAAGGAGGCATAGGGCTGGGCGTGGTGATGAGGGACGAGAATGGATCCTTTGTTCTAGCTACTGCCAAGAGAGTTAAGGGAGAATTCACGGTGGAAATGGCGGAGGCTTTGGCTCTTGAGATGAGAGCACAGTTGGTTCAACAATTTCATGTCCAAAATCCAATAATGGCGACAGATTGTTTACAACTTGTGCATCTGTTGACGGAGACATCTTCATCTAGATCGGAGGTTGGGGTGCTATGCAGAAACATAAGGAGATTGGTGGATGAACGACAAGGAAGCTTTTCTCATGTGTACAGGGAGGCGAACGAAGCAGCACATATATTGGCACATGCACGTACGAGATGGGATGAGCGCGTGGTTTGGCTCGATAGGCCGCCAATCTGCATAGTAGATCAAGTTAGTATGGACAATGTAGCAGCCGACTCCATTTGATGAGTTTTTTCCACAGGTTCATGTCAAAAAAAAAAAAAAAGAGATTGCATGGGTCCAAAATAATGAAACTTAATAAATCGATAAATAAAATTAACAAAATAAAATTTACATGAGAAATTGTGAAAAACTTCATCCGAACTGTCCGCTATTTTGCGGCCAAAACTGTCATGCGCTTCCTTTTTCAGTGATTACTTGGTTTTGCAAAGCATGGAACCGACAGAGACAAAACCTCATACCTCCCATTTTCAATATCTATGCTTGGATTCACGTCCACTTCAAAGTTCAAGGGGCTGTTTTGACCTTGCTCCAACAACATTTTCACCATCGTTACCCAAAGGCAATGGAAATTAATACTCCTACCAGAAGCAGGCTTCTTCTCCACAACTATTGGGCGAGTACTTGGAGCATCATCCAGTTTTGGTTTCAGTTCATCGTAGCAGGATTTCACCCTTTCTGCTGTGATGTTTCCAAACAAAAGCTCAGCTGCTTTGTTCTTTACCAGGAGAGGTATATATTCCGATTCATCCCACACATATAACTGCCAACATCAGATGTCTCTGTCAGTGCTGCATAATGTCACCTTGAAAGTCCCTTTTATGTTTAATATTAAACAACGATATACAGAAGAAAAAAAAACCATGACTTAGTAGTTAAGGTAAAATATATGATCGCCTCACACAGGAAGGAAAATAGTACATCGGTATTTTATCATAATTCGAAGGCATCTTGGATTCATGCAACAATGGAACAGAAAAGCATTGATTTCATATCATTTTCACAAGGTTAAGAGACATCTAAAGAAGTCCATGCACAGTTCTCATGTAAAATCATTTTTTATTTGTACTGAGATTGTTAGCTGAATGCTGGACATTTGGTAATCCATCTCTCTATGACGGATAGTGTCTATCTCAACGAAGACAAAATGTTATGAAGTCGATGAAGCAAATCAGGGCTGATTCACAGACACAAGTAAGAAGGCTAGTAGCAAACTGGTGTTTTTCGCTTTGGTGCATGTGTGGCTGTAAGATGTTTTAGCAAGCAGTCATTCTACTGGAAAGAAAGGTTGTTTGCAACAGTGTGTGAACAATATACCATACCAGAAAAGGCCTGTATATCAAGCTTACTACATGGAGACAATTTGAGCTCTTTGCGCAGTAGAGAGAAGCAAAATTCTGTTTGAACCTGCAGCTGTGTAAGGAACAAATATTGGCTTGGTAAGTGCTGGCAAACACAGAACATGAAGATAATATAGAGAACAGTTCGTAAGCTTCCATACCCATCCTCCATATTCAAAGGGGAACCACATAATTGACAACCAACGCAAATAAAATCTTCAGCTAGATCATCATCTTCAGTTCTAGTTGTTCTCCTGCTGACAAACATTTTCTCTTTCTCAGAGTCTCCAAGGGCTCTCCAGGTGATTGGTAAAAAAATTTCACCCACAAACCCATTGAATACTGCCTTGCAGGATTTGACTAACAAGGATACATCAGAAAGCAAGAAAAAGGTATGCGGTTCAATTTGTTCCGGTAACTTCCAGTTCCTATACTGCATCCTCTTCTGCTGCAACAAAATTTGAGTTCCCCGAAAGACCAGAGCACATGAGCAAGAATATGAAATACAACTAAACCTCTAGCTTGCGTTGGGTAAACATGGTTGGTTCAGATAAAGTATTACCTACCATAGACTCGTGTGACCCAATGGCAATGTTGTAGAGAGCAGAGCCATCTTTCTTGACCCATTTGATCACTTTTGCTAGCTTTGCCTTTGCTAATTTCTGGACTCCAGATTCCACAATCAGTTCATCGAGACCTACATTGATTGAGACAGTTCCTCATATCCACAGCATGAAGGTCACAACATCGCTCCAAGCAGTCATTTACAATTACTAATAGACTCAGCCTAAAACAAGACTGGGAGCTAGGGATGCATGTTCTCATAATCTACATTACCCTTGTCCTATGAACTATAAAGTAATTCTTCAGCTTCTACTTGGAGATAGTAGAGTTGATAACCGGTTAATCAAACAGTACCTTTAGAAACTAGGGATTCATAAGGATGCACCAAACGAACTACTGACGAACACAGTGCGCTTCTAGCCTCCACGACTTGTCCAAATTTTGCTATCTTCATATCTGAAAGCGAATTCACACAAACGTGATAGTCCGAAATCGAATCCAACGGCTTCAACCTACTGAGAGAGAACCATACTATTGAGTTAATCGCTATTACTCTGCAACAACACAACGTCGCCGGCAGCGGCAACGTTTCTCGTCTGCTTCTGCCACAAGGACACGACGAAGAATGGGTGCGTCTCATCGCCGACCTGAATGTCCGTCCTAACGGTTTCTCCACCTTTCGGCAACTTGTACTGTGAACAGAGGAAAGAAGAAATTGGTGGAGTTCTAAGAGCCCATAATACCATCGAATCGTAAAATTGGAAGTCGTCGTGTTAAGGAGAACAAGAAGAGAAGAATGTGAGGAGGACCTGCACGGGAGTGCAACGGTGGACGAAGACGACCAACTGAACGAAATCACCGACGTGAGAGGCGACTCTGCATAGATCCACCTGTGGGCCGTACCATCCGATGACCGAAGTCATCTCTGGTTCCTTTGACTCGGTAGTCGGTACTCGTTCGGGGAATTTACGGATATAGGGTCTTCTGGCTTCTCCTGTTCCCGGCAATGAGCTAGGCTGCTAATCCTCCCCGTCCTATATAAGGAGGTTCTGCTTCGGCACCATCCCATTATCCATTTCCTGCGAAGGAAGGGCTTTTTTGTGTTTTGCTTTGTTTTTTTTTTTTGGTTAATACCTTACTTGAATTATACTCAAATTTTTTATTTTGGTTCGTGGTTTCTGAAATTACTTATTTGGACTGAACTATACACTTGTCCATCGGTTGGATTCGGTACGACCTATTATGGATCTTCTTATACTAGTTTGAGCCCGTGGTCGATAGTTCCTTTAAGATACCGCAAGACACGTTTGACAGCATTCCAATGTTAGGCGGAGGGACGATGCAAAAATTAAGATAGTCAAGATAGTAAATTCACTGCGAAGCTAATGTCGATCAGAGTGAAGGATAGATATTGAAGGCCACCAAGAATGTTGCGATAAGTGGAGCCATTGGCAGATGGAGAGCCATCTTTAAGCTGAAGAGTCGTGGTGGATGATAGTGGTGTGGTCAAAGATTTAGCTTCATGCATGGTGGCACGATGCAGGAGATCAACTGTATATTTGTGTTTGCTGAGGAAGGCCCCGGAAGGACCACGAACGAACTAAAGACCCAGGAAGTAATGGAGGTCGCCAAGATCCTTCAGAGAAAAGCGAGCAACAAGCATTTGAACACAACGAGAGACATGTGTTGATGAAAGGCCAGTAATGATGATGTTGTTGACGTAGACAAGGAGGTAGATGACAGAGGATTGGTGACGAAAGGTGAACAATGAGACATCATACTTGGACTGAGTGAAGCTGGACTGTAGAAGAAAATTTTACAGAGCATGATACCAGGCTCGAGGACCCTGCTTGAGGCCGTTAAGAGATTTGTGCCACCTGCAAACAAAGGTAGGGTTAGTAGAATCAAGTTGAGTCATATAGACTTCCTCCTGCAACATGCCGTTGAGAAAGGCGTTGTTGATGTTGAGTTGTCGAATGGGCCATCCACGGACGACGACAAGGACAAGGACCACACAGATTGTGGCCGATTTCACGACGAGACTATATGTATCATGGAAATCTAGGCTAGGACATTGATGGAAGTCTTTGGAAACCAACCGGGCTTTATAGCAAGCTATGGAGCCATCAGCATTTCGTTTGATGCAAAACACCCACATGCAACCAACAACATGAGCACTCTCAGTTTTTGAAGTTAGGGTAATGTATGATTGGCATTGAGGGGAACTAGCTCCTCCAACATGGTTGCACACCAAAGAGGATCAAGAAGAGCCTCTCACACACTAGTGGGTTCGATGGGAGATGTAGGCGGATGGCGAGTCGCGGTAAAGAGGCTTTTGGGACTGTATATGTTATTTCAGGAACGTGTGATAATTTTGTGGGAAGTAGGTGGGGCAGTAGGAGCGGTGGGTTGGGAGCTGGGAGGAGTGAGTGGGGGTGGGGAAGGAGACGATGCTCCTGGGGAGTGGTGGTGGTGAGAGCGGCGAGCCAGGTAGTCATCTACAAAGGGGATGGTGTGAGGTGAGAGAAAGGAAACTGTGTTTCATCGAATGTGATGTGAGGAGAAACATAAACACGACTCGAAGTAGGTTGGAGACACAAATAGGCACTTTGAGTGGAACTATAGCCCAAAAGGACACATGGAAGTGAGCGTGAGTCGAGCTTGTGGGACGAGTAGGGACGAAGATACGGGAAGCAAAGGCAGCCAAATGCATGAAAGTTGTTGTAGTTGGGATGAGTGAGATGAAGATTGTAATGAGGAGAAGAATGAGAAAGAATGGGAGTGGGGAGCTTGTTTATGAGGTAGACTGTGGTGTGGAAGGCATAATTCCAGTATGTGGCGGGAATTGAGGCTTCATCAAGGAGGTAGAGGCCTGTCTCGATAATATGACGATGACGACGCTCAGAAAGACCATTATGTTGAGGCGTGTGAGGAGTGGTAAGGTGGACAATGCAATGTTGTGATAGAAAAAAATTTAGTTTATCTTATTCGCACCCGCGATCGGAAAAGAGAGTAATTATCAAAGTTTGAAATTGGTTCTCTACAAGAGATTTGAAGCGAGGGAAAAATCAAATAAGTTGGATTTGCGTTTGAGAGGATAAAACCAAATGTAACGAGTAAAATGATCCACAAATATCACATAATAACGAAAGCCATCAATAAACAATATAGGGGCATCCGAATAAACAATATCCAATGGCAACAAACTATGCAGAGTTGAATCAAAGAAAGATAAACATTGGCTTTTTTTATATTGACGGGCATGACAATTAAAAAAAATTCGTAAAAAGAAAAGGAAGGTAGTGATCAACAAACACCCGTTGAAGAATCGGTGGGTCAGGGTGACCAAGGCGACAATGCCAAACCTCCCTAGAGGTCTTGACACAAACCAATACACGAGGTTGCAATTTATTGAGAGAAACATCTGGATATTCAACACACCTCTCTAGCGCGTCCCCGAAGCATTAGAGTCCCCATGGGCTGTGATTTAACAACAAAGAAAGAGGGAAAGAATTCAATAGAGCCATGATTAGAGGCACAACATTTAGAAACAGAGATTAAATTTTGGGAAATGGTAGCGGAACAAAGGACCTTGGTGAGGAAAAATATGTGGGTAGGTGAAGATAGGGAAAGAGAATGAGTGTGAGATATAGCCAAGCCTGAGCCATCGATGATTGCAATGGTGTCCATACTGTCATACTTTTTCGAGAGAGCTAAGTGGTCGAGCTTGTCGGTGACATGATGCGCTGCCGCTGAATCGAGGAGCCATGAGAGTGGTGCTGAAGATGAGGCGCCATGGCTCGTAGTGACGTTAGATTGAGGATGAACGATATTGGCCTGAAGTTTCGGGTGAATCTTGAAGTAGGTTCGGCGGTATGCCCGACGCATTGACAGTACTGGCAGACCGGCCTATTGGAGGGCATTTCTGGAGCAGCGGAGGAGCCAGGGCCAGCGAGGAGAGGAAAAGGTCCATTTGGCAGGGAGAGAGAGCGTAATCCATTGTTGTGCGGAGCTGACCGAGAAGATTGATATTGTCTTCCTTGGTGTGTAGTTGTTAGTATATAGAATAGTTATAGGTTTCACTTTGTAATATTTGTTTACTTAAGGTACTGTATTGTAATTTGGTTATATAGGACTCATATATATTGTAAAGAGAACAATGTAACATTTACTTTTGGTGACATAAAATCGAACGTTTCTCTCTCTTACAACATGGTATCAGAGCACTTTCTCTGACTTCGTTTTTTTTTCCGCTTCCGCTTCCTTCTTCTAGGGTTTCAGTTCTCGAAACCTTCTTCGATGGCGTCTTCGTCGTTCCAGCCGCCTCTACCTCTCGCAGCGGCACTCGCGCCCAATCATCCCTACTACATCAGCTCCGGTAACTCCTCGACGACACAGCTCGTGTCAATCGTACTCACCGGGCCGAATTATCACTCCTGGGCGAGATCCATGCGCTTCGGTCTTCTGTCGAAGAACAAACTCGCTTTCATCGATCCAGCCGTTCCGACGCCGCCGCCGGGTATAGGTTTCACTTTGTAATATTTGTTTACTTAAGGTACTGTATTGTAATTTGGTTATATAGGACTCATATTGAAAGAAAGAAACCCGCCGCATGCCCGTGTACTGTACACACAGACACCTTTTACTGTACAACGTGACTGAGATTTACTGTTTCAAACTGGCGTGTCCTTCGGTGCGAGCTGGAGTTGGGTGAGGCCTCATTGGGATCTGCGGAGTTTGGGGGCTCGGTCGGGGTGGGACTGGTCGTTGGCTTCTGGTTGGCCTTAGTTGCGGTCGTTTGGTGGCCCGGACGCGCGTTGGTCATCAGAGATCGGTATGTGACTTTGCCCCTACCCGGCCACGTGGGATGGGGCCTTCAGATGTGCTCAGTAAGTCTTGCGTGATATGATTGTGTCTGTTAGGGATTCCTAGAGGGTCGTGTTGGGCTGTTGTTCGTAGGACTGTGTTGGAGAAACTTGGCGGCTGATTGGCTGGGGTTGGAGGTGCTTTGGGAATGGTGGACAACTAATTGATACCGGTTATTCACCTGAGGGACGGGGCCTTCAGATGTCCTCAGTGAGTCTTGCATGATATGATTGTGTCTGTTAGGGATTGCTAGAGGGTCGTGTTGGGTTGTTGTTCGCAGGACTATGTTGGAGAAACTTGGCGGCTGATTGGCTGGGATTGGAGGTGCTTTGGGAATGGTGGGCGGCTTATTGATACCGGTTATTCACGTGATGGCGGGAGGGTGTCAACAAGTTTACTGTTTCAAGCACTGTGGACGTCATTCAGTGCCTCGATGCGTGCGCTCAGGTGGAGAAGGGCATTTCTCATTCTTTTTGCACAAGAGGACTCATTCTCGGAACGCATTTCCCTATTTTTTTCTACCCTCTTTGTTCTCTGTGGTTCAGTCGTTGTTTTCTCGCCTTTTTCCTCACCATGGATGCTACTCTGCTCTGCAATCTCAAAGGAGGTACCAGAGAGGTGACTCTGAGGCTTCGTCTGCTCCATATGTGGTATCCCAAGAATCCTTCTGGGAAAAGGGTGTTTAATCACTGTTGCCTCTGGGTGGATCAGACGGTAGATTCTCTTACGCTGATTCTTTGTGATTACAGTGCTTTCTGTTTTTTTGCTCTTTTTTTTTCCTTCTTTGCTCTTTCTTTACTATCTTTTTTTGTTTTTAATTTAGGGTATGCTCATTCAGAGCCTGGCTGATGTCTCTATTGGGTCTGAATTTGAGCGTGTGCTACGCGTGGGAGTTATCTACGTTCTTAGGTCTTTTGGTCTCAGTGCCGCAAGGAATCTCTATCGTGCTTGCTCATTTGATCTGATAATAGAGTTGTCAGCAACAACTATTTTTCAGGCCTGTTCTCTACCTGCAGCTGAATTTCCAACTGATTCCTTTGAGGTTGTTCCTTATAGTGAGCTGTCTAACCGTTCAGGGGACAATCGTATCCTTGCAGGTGATTATTCCGTTTTCTTGACTGAAGTGGATTGGATTTTATGTCTTCTTACTGCTCTTTTTTTTCGGTCAGATGTTGTCGGCCGTCTTCATTCTATTAGCGGGATTGATCATCAGGTTACTAATCACGGCTCGACTCCAAAACAAGTTCTGGTCCTTGAGAATGCACAGTAGGTCTTTCTGTTATTTTATTTTTCCACTGGGGAATACTGTTTCGTCACCTTCACGTAAGATCTGATCCTTTGTTTTGCTGTCAGGGGCCAGAGAGTGTCGATCACGCTTTGGAATGAACTGACGCCAGTCCTTGATCGACCTTCTTTGATTCAGGCGGACTCCATTGAGCCAGTGATCGTTGGAGTTGGGGGGCTCATGGTTGGTCGTTTGATAGGTGTGTATTTTAACTCTTTTCCATTCTGCTTGATCATAAATTGTGAACTGATTTTGTTTTTGTTGTGCAGCTGGTGAATATTCCTGTTCGAGCTCCTCTGGAACCCGTATAGTTGTTAGCCCGAGGATACCAGAAGCTTACAGCCTCGCTGCTTTGTGGGTTCTTTGTTGTTAAACTGTGATTTTGTTGTTCTAGATTTGTTTTGTGGTGTTTGGTTTGCTTTACTTTTTTGTGTCCATCTATGCAGTTTTGGTGGATCCAGAGTTCTTGTTGCTGATTTGCCGGTCAAGTTTGCGACCCCAGGGGACGCTGTTGCTAATGCTGAGCGGAGAACCAGGACCATAGCTGAGCTTCTTGATTTGCACCATGGCGGTGCTTCTGTCGTGAGTTGCATTCCGATGTAGTTCTTGATTTTAGAATGGTCTTCGGGTTGTCCATTTATTTATGTTTTTTATTGCTTTTTGGGATTGTCAATGTTTATATTCAGGATGAAAAGCATCGTTGCGGTGGTATAGTCCGATCGGTTGAGTCCCGAAGCCCGTGGTATTACATGTCATGCAGCATGTGCAGGAAAAAATGTTCTACGTGGCGAAATGGTAACTACTGGTGTCCTGACCATTGGGAGATCACTGAGCAGTAAGTGACAGTTGGGTGTGTGTTTTGTCTGATCATTAGTTGTTGTTTTTGTTTATTTCATTGTGTGCCTGTCAGGTCTTAAAGAATTTGCCTAATTTTTTGAGTTTGCACTCCTATGCCTGTCCTGATGGAATTGTCTCTGTTTTTTACTGTATCGTCTCTAGCTACAAGATCCAATTGACCCTGCGTGATGCCACTGACGAGGCCCCTTTCATTATTTTCGGCCCGTGTGGGAACAATTTGGTGCTCACATCTGCCCAACTGCTGGCCCAGAGATATCCTCACAGGTCTGGCCAGTTACCGCCTGAACTTGAGGCTTTGCTCGGCCAGTTTGTCAGGTTTGAGGTCAAGCTTCCGATGGTTGGGTCAAGTGGAGTATCTACGGGTGAATTCCGTGTTTTCCGAGTTATGCCCCGTGATGTTCAGGGCCCAGTGCTTGGTCTTACAGGAGTTCCAGATGTCACAGGCAGTGTTTCTTCGTCCCAAACCCTAAGTCAGTCCTATTATGGTCAGGAAGGAATGTTGATGCTGCCTGCTCCAGGTGTACCTTTCGCAGCTTCAGCTTCTGCTGTCATACCATCTAGGTGAGCGTTGTTTGCTCTATTGTTATGTTTGTGTTAGTTAATTACTGAGGTTTAGGTATGGGTTTGGGTTAGTCTAATTATTAATCTTTGCTGTTACAAATCTAGCTCATCCAAAGGAAAGGAAAAGGTTGTTGACTCAATGTCGCCTGGAGGGACGAATCCAACATTCCAGATTGGCCAGGTTGCAGGGTTGCCTCTGAGGTAACACATTTGGACTGTTTTACTTGATTTGGTATTGATGCATTAACCTGTGCTTTGTTGCTGTTGTTGCATGGTAAATACTTATGTGCTCATTTGGCTCTTGTAGTTCATCTCAAGTTCCTTTGGCAATCAAGGAGAATGCTGTTGTGTCCGACGTGATTTCGCCAAATTTACTGCCTCCTGTTTCATCTATTGCACCTTTGCTTTCTGTTGCTGATGTGAAAGGAAAAGGAACAGGTCCAGCGGCGACTGTTGTGGCAGCTCCTTTTACCATTGCAGATCCTTTGAAGGTCTCTAATATCCAATCAGTTGGTGCTGTGAAATGTGCAGTGGGGACTCCTGGAACTCTGAGTGATGGTATGGATTTGATGAGTTCTACTAGCCGGGGAGTACATGGATTGTCATCCATTGCTGGGCTGGGTTCTGAAACTCCTCAGAGTAAAATCAGCAAGTCATCTTCGGCAGTTTCGCCTTTGTCTTCAAGGAGTCTGTGAGTTTTTTACTTTTAAACTTATCGTGTCATGGTTAGAGTGCAGTCGGAATTTATTGTTTTGGTCTTTGACAATGCAGCTTGATATCACCTCTGGCTAAGGTGAAGATTGAGAAGCTGGAATCTTCTGGAACTAGATCTCCTAATGTGAGGCAGGATGATGAGCAAACAGAAAGTTCGTCCCCTTTTTCGCTTGCTGACCAAGATTCACACCGGGCGCCTGGGAAGCCTTCTGCTGCTAAGCGTCGCCTGTATGAATCTTAGGGTATAAATTCGAGTATGATCCCTTTGTGTGTTATTTATTAGTTTTGAATGCTGATTGGTTATGTTATTTACTGGATCTAAGTTATGCTGGGTGCAGGAAAGGTGGTTGCCTTTTGTGGATGCTGGATTTGCTGCAAGGAGGCAGTCCTTTTGATGGTGGGCAGGATGATTATGTTGTTGATCGTTTGAAGTTGTGCTGGTTGGAGGGTTTGCAGCTCTTTTGTAAACTTCTTGGGAACCTGTTTGTAAACTTTGTTCTTGCCTTGCCTGGCTAATTTTGGCAACTTTGTGGAAATTATGTTGTTGGTTACTAGACAAAACTAATGGCACTTCGGGTATCTGTTTATGAGGTGTAAGTTTTAAGTGCATGTAATTTTCTGTGCAAGATCAGGGTGGTC